ACCCTGCCTACCCTGACGAGCCGCCACTGCTCATCTGATATTAAGGGAAATCGAAATTTTGCGATCGGAACAAGTTTTATGCCTAGTAATAGGCATGTGGGCAGGGATGACGATTGACGTTTCTGACAACCGTGATTTCGTTATGGCGGTTCACTGAACTTAAACTGGATCTTGTCTCTTGGCAAGGGGTGTCTGCATGAATATCATAAACAATGCCTAAGCGGAAGAAAGAACACCCTGTTCGGTCATTGTGATGATGGTGCAATTCAGAAAACCATCGGAATGCCAGGCGTGAAAGTGAAGCTGAAATCCAAGTGAGCCTTTCAATTTCCCGTCGTAGACTATCCATAGGCCTATAGCACTACAGTTAATTTGCGAAGAAATTCGTACAACCTTTAATGTCGTGAATGTCATTTTCATGCTGCATTCAAGGAAATGAGGGTATTTCTATTGGGAAGGAAATGACATTAGGCCTACGAAGGCCTACGAAGGCCTACGAAGGCCTACGAGGCCCATGGTAAGGGGTGATACGAATTCATTTACAACAAAAAAAATCATTTTAGACCTGAAGAATAACGTTGACCTGCCTCCACGTGGCGTCAGTTAGCATACCGCTTGGACTTGAACATTTCCTATTTTGGATATGAGCCACATTACACATTATCATAGTCATACAATTCATCCATGAATGATGTGAGTTGTAGCATTTTCATTCTCGATGGAATGATGGATGGATTAACGGTATTCACCGGAAGGTATGATACACAAAAGAACTTTTCGAGGTGTTGCATCATTGTAATGTTTCAAGTAAACTTAAACTATAATATACGTTTGTTAAAAATGAAACTCTGTTACCGGGCCACGCACGCGCCACATTAATTGGTTTATCGAATTGCGTGAATCAGTAAGAATTGATAGAATTGGGAGTAAGGATGCTATTTCGTCGAATCCTCATTTACGTTTGTAACAACCCTACAGAGTTTCTCTCTGGCACTTCGAATTGCTGCTTTCTTTTTATTGCATGCAATGAAAATTCTTCCTGCTCCGGATGCGATACGAACAATATTCAAAACGCGGACAGTCTCGTCGTTCGTTCTCCTCCTTTGACCTCATCACTGCGCCCTGCCTCATCCTTTCTAAACTCTCGGCAAAATTGTCAGGCAGGCAACTGAAATGGAAAGCATGCAGTAGAAGTGAGAACCTGTTTTTCCCAGATCGTATTGTTGACAAAGGTCTAAAATGTCTTCGGCACATTCTTGGATCTTCTGTCGTAATTCCTTCATCGCTGCTGACTCCACCTGCAAGAATCCAACAAATTTAGAGGCATAACTTGGCCATCGATACATCACGATATTTTGTAGATGTTTATGTAAACACAACTATTGGAACGAGCATTTCTCTAAGTAGGAAAATTTTCCAGGATTGTCATCCATTGTTTTCAACGAAATATCGCACCTTAGCCGAGGTTAACAGTGCCGTTTCTAAAGGCCCTCCCAAAGATTGTCTTGGCATCTACATCCAAAGTAGTACAGGTCAAATCTCGTTACAACGAACTTCAAGGGGGTGTCCAGATTACTTCTTTGTACTGAAGTTTCGTTGTGTCGAATATTGCTCGAAATAAGTTCGTCTCCTTTTTTCCTGTCGGAATCTACTGCTTCCACTACTTTCATTTTTTCTTCCGACGAAAACTGTCGGCATTTCTTGTTTCCCTTGTTAGCCATGTCTGCAGGATGGGGCGCACAGGTACACTGTGTTGTAAGTGATGAGGTTTCGGCCGCGATTAGCTAGCGCCGACTACTGTATGCACCTCCTCGCGCTAACATTTTTAATGCCACAAGTGTGGAAAACAGAGAATTCTGACTCTCAAGGTCCGAAGTGAAGGAGGAGGCTGTCGCGAACCACAGACGATCGTCTCTTCGTAAACAATCAATTGTTATATGTATTTTTTTTCGTTATAACGAGTGACTATTACACGTGCAAGGACTGGAAAAAAGCGTTCGTTGTACTGAATTATTCGGAGTAACGAATTTCGTGGTAACAAAATCTACAAAGTACTATTACTGTGGGCCATCGGCCGGGATTTGAAAATATTTTCGTTATAGTGAAATTTTCGTTGTAACGAAATTTGACCTGCATTTGCATCTAGTTCGTGCAACGAGCAGAAAAATTATCCGAAATCCAAAACATTCGCAAAAGTCTGTCTTTCAACTCCAAAAGCATTTTCAATTCGAAAATCCCTCCATATAGAGACGGGTGGGAAAAAGCATTCACAAATACTTTTCAGGTAAAACCTGAGACCACCAAATTTCATATACACCTATTTGCAACTTGGACTTTATTTTTATTTTTCATTTACTGCTTCCCATCTACTTCCTAATAAATGTGAAAATCCAGCTGTTTACTCAGTTTTCCTAGGCGCTTTCTATGTAGGGTAAAGCATCAATGATCGATATTTATTGGGATCGTCGCGCGAAGCGATGAGAAGAACGAGTGGCGTTAACATTCGTGACGCAACATAACAAAGGTTCATCGTGTTTGCATCCAGCCTCGATGCTACAGGTCTTGCTCCTCATTCTGTTTAGGCAATGTGAGGTTTCTTCTAGGCTGCGCGCTGCTCCTTAGATTATTTCAAATTGTGGTAAATGAAGTGGTGTCAGACGACGTGTGTCATTCGTCATTCGCGCATCCTAGGCCTATAGTCTTCGAATATGACCTTAAGGTACTTCGAAACTTCTTTTTTTTTTGTAAGAAGGAGTAGCAATAATAGCGTGGGGAAGCGAACAGAGAAACATGTCTCTCGACGATTCCGTGAAAAGAGAAAGAATCATTTTGCGATATGGATATTCGCTCCATGATCCCTGTGTATCGTGGATCGTCTGCGTTTATCCATTACTGATTTGATGATCAACTTCATGTTTCTCTACATAAGATTTAGAATGTGGCATATCTTTCGTGGGCTTGTAAAAATCTCTGCTGCCATTATTCAAGATACATTTCTATAGTTTCATTTATTAACTCCTTCCATGATTGCCTGAACTGTATTCGGACAAATCACGGAAGGGGTTAAATGTTAATGCATACGCATTTACCCCCGTTGCGCTCGCAAGCGCAACGAGGTGTTTCTATACAGTATTTCCATAGGTGCGCCTATGGAAATACTGTATAGAAATAATACTTAATATATAGCAAAATTATGTTACAAGTCCATGCATTCTGTTATTGAAATTTTCATAGAAGTATATATAAAATAAACTAAATTGACGTATTTGGACTGAATTTTCGGTGAAGATAAAATATACACGAAAGGGGTTAAGAGATCCCATCACGCTCTTTGTCATTTCTCCATTATTGACATTAAAAGCTGGAAATATCTATAGTAATAATAATAAAAATTCCAACCCAAGTGGCTAAGATGCTTAAAAGAATAAAGAATATTTGAGAGGAAACAAACCACGGCAGCATTGCAGGGGAAAATTCCGAAGACGGAGTACATCGGGATGAACAGGACGCAAGGGCAAAAGTCAAAATGTGGTGCTTATAATCCTTAACACATTCGAGTGCCATACACATTCGAGACCCGCTGATTTTGCGCTGCGAGGGCTCAGAAAACCAGCAATTTTTCAGTATTAAAAAGGAACATAGTGAAAAGTATTAATATGATAATATTGTATTATTTTTGTCTGTTGAAATGAATTCATCACGTTTTATTGATCAAATCCATATATTAACTATATATAGCCCGGTCATAGCACGGGCGCGGTCCTCTCCACTATGTGCCACTGCCTGTGCATTGCACGGGCGCGGTCTCGAATGTGTTAGGAGAAGTGCTGGAGGCACTGCGTGATAGAAAGATTATAAACACAGAAGCATCAAAGAAATTTGGGATTTTTCTTCATGATAGAATTCACGCGAAACGGGAAGTCTGCTTCCTTCCATTAACATCGAATCGTGATCCAGAGGTCTGCATTGGATGTGACAATCTGGTGTGACGAGTGGTCGCGGAAATAATGTATGGGGATTAACTTTTAGAATGTGACTAACGAGGACATAGAAGATGTCTATTATCCGTGTACAACGTTAGTCCTTCAAATAGGCCCTTCGAGACTCAGACCAATCAATCATTAGGGATTCATCATTTTTCCTACAGTTACGTGTGCAATGCTCTGTGATTTAACCAGGGGGAACTCTTTTTTTTGGCATGTCTTGTGGACAAGTCCGTAAAGTACAACTCAAAAGAACCTGTCCTGTGATTGAGGTGAAGAATAAACTGGATCTTTCTTTAGTGTAAAAAAAAAGCCTTGTTGCTCAATGATACCGACGTCATCGCTGACTGGTGCATGTCGCAAAACGATTCCATACCTATCGATCGGAGGAACCCTTCGTCACTCGGCGATCACGCACCCCCTCTCAACAGACGCTACGTGCATAGCAAACGTTATTGTCAAAATGGGTTGGGGTTGGTGGGGGCTCTTTTGACCGTTCGATAGAAGAATATGGTGCCTTCCACTGTGCGAAATCGCATCGCATTAACTTCAACATTGGAATTGTGAATTTCTTATAGGGAATCCTTATAGGGTGATTTAGTGTCAAGAATTATGCACACATCCGTCTCAAGCGTTTGTTCCTCTTCCCTTGGAAAAATAACTGACATTTTCCCTTAATTAACTTAGTAACTCGGAATTGTGGGACCCTGGTTCAATCAACTCTGTTCATTGACCCCAGAGTGTGAGTCGGCACTAGGTCATTCTGCATCTCCAGTCAACTCGTTTCTCCTCTAATGATCTCTAAACGAAGTTTAAAAGCACAATGAGGTACCCATATAATTGCCGACAAATATTAGACACCGTGGGCACAAATGCGATTTTTTCCTCTCATGGAACGCAATTAACTTGGACCCAGCAATAAAAGTCTTGGGGAAAATCGGGTTAAGGTAAATGATCGCTGGCGAACTCCAATAAGGGAAAAGTAACCATTGATCTTTAACCTAAGCCGAAAATCGATTAGAAAAGATAAAGTACCTTTCCAACCTCATCCCTGAGAGTCAAGATCCTGCTCTGTCTCTTCTGCGAGGAATATTGGACCATTTGGGGCTTCAGGTCTGGTCCCAGGAGTTTCACATAGGCTCCTCGATTCGAACCCATCTCGTAGTAATTAGACGCTGAAAATACCGTCAGGACCTGCACGGACAAAAGCAGAAAAAAAGGATGTGAAGGAAAAGGTGGGTCAGGGAACGAGAAAAGAGAGTTCACATCTTTCGGGTAGATTCCATCTCACCATGTTGTTGTGACAGAATTCGTAGCCGTCGAGTTTGCACTCGTGAGATCGAATGAGCAAGCGAAGATTGGAGGTAGTCAAGAAATGGGAGGTGACATCCGGGCCGAAGTAAACTCCTCCGCCTCGGAAGATGTTCATTGTGCAACCGTGGTTTACTTTCGGGTCACTCCACAGTACATCCACTACCTGAATACGTGTCCGTCGCAATTGCATTCAACAATGAACGTCTGAACCAATGTCATCTTCATCAGTAGACTAATAGGAGTTTTCTTAAGAATGAATAAGGACTGAGACACGAATGCTGAAACCTCTTTTAGTTAACGGTCCTTTAAGAATACATGGATTCCTATGGAGGGAAAATAACTTTTTTTTGTTCAAACGCCTCTTTATCTCACCTAAATGAGGTTTGTGCATTCGAGCCTCAGGCCTGAATGCACAAACCTCATTTAGGGGAGATAAAGGGGCCTTTAAGCTAATGAACTCTTTTATCCACCATAGGAATACATGTATTCTTAAAGAACCGTCAACTAAAGGAGGTTTTCAGCATTCGGGCCTATGGGTGGCTTGCATAAAACTGACTTTAGCGTAATAAAGCTTTAAACCTCCTTTTACGGTAATGGAAGTTTAAGGGTGGATTTTTGAACAGAGCACTGTCCGATAATGCAGCTTTATTTACCGGATTTATAATGCATTTTCTCCGAAATAAAGCAGCATTATCGGATAGTACTCTGTTCAAAAATCCACCCTAAAGCTTCATTACGCTAAAGTCAGTTTTATGCAATCCACCCTATACCTTCAGGTAAGCGGAGAAAGCCCTCAGGTGACCATTCTGTTCCATAAATCGAGATGAAAGCACTTGTTTTTCATTCTGATATGTTCAGTATTTTAATCTGACATGGTGATGGAGCGCATTGAAGTGAAACACAAAAAATGAAGAGTTCGAACTTCTTGAAAATGGTCATCTTAGCATGTAAGCGAATCCTTTGTGAATTGATTTTGGAGTTCCAGTTTTCAGAAGTAATGTCAGATCTACATATTGCACAAAAAGTGACCCGTTGGTGATGCATGGTTGAGAACTGCTGATATGAGTGGATGATTGCCGCATGCTAGGATATCCGCTTGGATTCCCGAGCCTGTGGCGGGTTGGTGTGAAGATTGCAGGAGAGCCTGAACGACGCATTGCACACAACCATATCACGCAGATCTTAGCGGGGAACGAAAATGGCTCGTTCGTGACGATTTTCATCTATATGTTTCGATCAGCTCATTTCCGTCAGCTCCCGGGAGACCTTCCTATTCCCCACAGAGGATGCAGCAAGCGAATTGAACACAATTTTGGACTTTAGGATGCCTCTGAGCACAATAGGCATGGCTCGCATCGGCTCTGTTCTTACTGGCTGGAGACGAACAGTGGAAGAGCCTTGCCTACCCTGTCTTCATCTGAGGTTATCGAAACCAAATAATAATTGTGGAAAGTCTAAATTTTTATCATCATACCTACATACTCCATATTTGCACGAGACTTTGAATCCCTTTATTTCAACAACAGGCTATTTTCATTATCAACGCGCAAAAATATTCCTGACTCTGGCCAGAAAACCTCCATAGCCTGCTAGATGTGGACACAAATGTGTTGAGAGGTGATGCTAATCAAGTTGCAGTAAGGTAAAGTGTCTATTCGCGTCACTTCAAACCTCCTGAAAATACATTTTTCATAGTAAAGGGCACTACTCCGCGGTGAGACGCCATATTCGAATGCGGTTTTCATTGGTGCACACGTCAGAGATCATGGAAGGTCTCTGACGTATTCGTGTGGGTTCGCGTCGTGCCAATATAAAGAAAAAGGGAGAAATCCAAAGCTGTCTCGTTAATAATACAGATTTCTAATTGCGTCATCACTTGTGCCACTTTGCAGCCTATGTTGAACCAGTTCGCGTCTATTGATAGGAATGCCTGTGCCTTGGGTGTGCCGACTTACGACATGCAACATGCCAAATCGCGTCATAGCGTTAGATTTTTTTATGCTTCACAGGAAATTCCGCTTTCAGAAAGTAACCTTCATGATAAAATGCTTTTGCGCACGAATCACCAAACATCGCAAGTAACTCAAGTAGGAAAAATATCACATACAGAGAGTTTCAGTAACCTCACAATCTCATTGTGACACGTTGTACTCAGAGTATCAGTTCTCAGGGAAGAAAAATGAATGAAAAGAAAACGCCACTTATTTGTGCATTTTGAGTTAGAGCAGTGGTGCCCAACCTTTTCGACTGGGGGGCCACATAGCTCACTCCCACAGCCATCGCGGGCTAGTCACTAGTATTGTAGGAGACTATTTTAAGGAAACCTAAGGGTATTTATTGTGGGTTAGGGCCTCGCGGGCCACTTGTAAGCACCTCGCGGGCTACTTTTTGCCCGCGGGCCGCGGGTTGGGCACCATTGAGTTAGAGAGTCAATGTCTTTGGGGGATCACGTCCTTGAATGACAAAACATGAGCGGGTGCTAAAAGCCGCAGTACCAGAAACATAAATTTAAAAAAAAATACGCTGGTCCCAGAGCCCCCCGTCTTGATCTAGTTTATTGTAAGTTTAAGAAATGAATTCCGTAATTTTTTTTTACAAACAAGGTCTCTCTTGGAATGCTAAACTCAGGCATATTTTTGTAGACCTGCCCCCTGCTCGGATTCATTAGAAAGCCTCCGGGAGCTTTGCCACTGTGTATTTCTGTTTTTTCTTGTTATCGTCCTAATTTGTTGTTCCCCTATTACAACATTCAGCTAAATTAAGGCCGTAAAAAGGAGTGGAAAATATTTCATTGAAGGATAGGCGATCTGCAGAGACAGATACACAAACTCAGCATCTAGTATGCCACAATTAATCCTTCATTGAGTCTTCCTCCATAATTTTCAGCGGAAAACATCAAGAGCCCATTTAACTCAACGCGTAAGAAAACGAGATGCTATCACGCTGCGTTGGCCAACTCGCTAAACGAGATAGTTGTCACGCTTTGGGGCGTACATTTCTCGACGAGAACCTGTGCACAATCCCGGTTGACATTTTTTGGATAAAGTATTTTTTTCTTCGAGTCTTTGGTGTGCACTTGGTTCACAACTGTCCTCTCAGTTAAGATCCATGTACATCTTTTAATGCGGACAAGAAACCCATTTATGCTATGCTTTCATATACTGCGTGAAATTAAATCCATCAATATTTTCCTTTTACCTTTACTTTACTTTAAACCTTCAATTCCTTTAAAACCAATAAACTATTAGTAATTCAGGCTAAAGTTTGTAGCAGCTTCAAGTCTCGGCAAGTGTCCCTCAATCTACACGCAGAAATGTATTGATGGATCGCAAGAGAACCAATGGATGCTTTCTACAACTTTCTTTTCTGAGAACTTATTTTATTTTGTTCAGTTCAGTCAGAAATATCCCAGGAACACATGCGAGGTGCAAATAGATAGGAGTGTAAAATGCATACATCTGTTTGCGTCACTAAGGGACGCAAATATACAGCGATCCATAACCCGGTGTCCTTTCGTGGCATTGTCTTTTATGGAATTCTGGCGATGTAACCTAGATAAAATATGAAAATTATCGTAGTATCCAGTTTAATAATAGATTTAACATGAAATCCAAACCCATCAGGCTCACAAATAAAAGCTAACGATGTGCTCCGCCCGGTCGCCTTAGCCAAAGAGCGGAGAATCCTAAGCTCCCGAAGAAGAATGAGGCTCATGCCGGCATACACGCATCAGTAGGAAGGAAACATGGTGGTCCTTCGTTGAGAAACTGCGTATGCGTGATCTGTGATTACAGTGCTCTCATTTGGACCAAGCCATGCCCTGCCTTGTGCATCACCTGCCTTGTGCTGCTTCATGGCATTAAATTAAAAAAAACTTTCCCTCGATGCCGCGAACTGACCCTTGGCGCGAATACGCATTTCTACCTTAGATGCCGTTTACTGTGATCGCATTGATGCAAGGGGATTTGATAACGTTATAAGTGACCGATAATGGCGGCGATCAATGGAAACTTGAAATTCATTTCCTTTATTACCAAATGGCCTTTATTGGAGGAAGTAGTCGTCGGAAGTGGTCCGGGTGCGGTTAGCGGTTACTATGGCCTCGATTTAGGTCTTCAGGCTGCTGTAGAGAGTTTAATATGAATCAAGGCGTTTCCAGCTCCCTCGTTAAAGCCCGGAAGTAGAGCCGCCCTAAAACGAAGGGAGAGGTTCCCCATCCTTTTCTCCTCTCCGTCAGAATTGGTAACTCGGTTGTACTAGGAGGGAAACGGAAGTCCCAATTGTGAAAATCTGTTTCCCTACTGCTCCTTCCCACGGGAGTGGGCGGGATGGGAGTAAAACCTTTTGGGAGCGGAGAGGGCGGGGTCAAAGATCGGGACAAAAAGTGAGAACGGTAGTGAAGGAGGAAAATGGAAAAACTCCTTTAGCGGAAGTCTCATCTTCTCAACCTCTTCCTTCACTCGAACCAAAATTGATCACATTATCTGATGGGACGGCGATAGCATAAAGAGAAGGAAAACATTAGAGTGGACAGGGAAGGCTGCAGCCTAATTCTAATTCTAACACTTTGCTCAATGCTGTTATTTTTCCCCCTCGAAGTTAGTGGCGAAAATCGATTCAGGTACTCCAGGAATGAGCTTATGAGACTCCAGTGTTGTAAAACCGGCCTTCCCGAAGGTGCAAAATCGCGGATTGCCAAACTCCCCTTCGAAATAGAAGGCGAGGCAAACGGAGCGGCCTTCTACGTCGTCTCCGCACGTGTGTTGTGGAAAATCTACCCTCGCCGATCATCGTGAGTGCAAACGTTCAAAGCTTGATTCCAAAGTTGCCGACCTTTAAGGACCTTGTCAGCAAGAAACCATTCTCTGCTACTTGTGCACTTAGTTTGCAAGAGACATGGTTGACTTCTATGTTGCCGGACTCTGCTCTCTCGATTCAAGGCTATCTATTGTTTCGAGCAGATCGCAGACACTTAAAAAAGAAAAAAGGAGGAGGAACTGCAATCTATATAAACGAAGGCTGGGATCCTAATGCGGAGGTCCTTCGGGCGGTGAATAACGACGACCTGGATCTTATTGCAGTAAAGTGCAGAAATAAGATAATCATCATGTCGTCGGTATACATCAATCCCAGAGGAAACAAGGACTCCGCAGTCGAGGCAATCAGTGACCTTGTCAACTGGTTTTCAGACACATACGCTCTCTTCATAGCAGGAGATATGAATCGAGCATCGTTCACCCCTATTCAGCTCACAGGCATTCTTGAAAATGTGGTCTCATTCGCAACCCGAGGAGATTCGAATCTCGACCAAGTCTGGACAAATGCTAGGAATATGAAGTAAAAAAACTCGCTCAGTTCTCAGACCACTCGGCTCTCTTGATATATCCTCAATTCCTCTGCCGATATTCGAGAGAGATATGCTGGAAAAGAAATCACATAAGAAAGCTCGACAAGGACCGATTCTGTTTTGAGCTAGATGTCACAGACTGGGACGTTCTACTTGAGTCTGAAGATCCTGAAGCGGCAATATCAGCATACATAAAATTTTGCTACGATCTCGTCTGTCCCAAAGAAGAAGTCCAAGTAGAAGAGAACTACGTGAGAAATCAGAAGATAACACATGCTGGGAGACAACGGGAAAAAGCACTTGTGAGAGGAGATACAGAGGCATTCAAATTCTGGAATTCGATTATTCCAAAAGGTGAACGACGTCAATGAAACTCTTTTTGCACATGAGCAATCGGCGTCTGAGTCCAAGAAAACTAGAGATAAGCTCAAGAAAATGAGTGGCAAGGACGATCGACCCAAAAAAGCAAGGACCCGATTCTCTACAGAAGAACTCAATCAATTCTTTCTAAGATTTGAGAACGCCGATTCAGATCCTGAACTACCACAGGAAGTTCTGCTATATTGTCCAGATCCTTCATCGCCAAATTTGACGCAGAAGATGTGCAGAAACTACTAAGCAAGCCTAGGCGCAAGTTATGCACAGGAGCCTGTGGAATTCCAACGTGGATTCTAAGAACTTGTGCCTGCGAGTTAGCTCTCCCCTGGACACCAACCGATGGGTCTCCACCGGAATAATACCATCATCGTTGAAAAGGATTAAAATAACGCCCATACCAAAGAAGCCTCAGCCCAAAGCCCTCAACGACTTTCGCCCTATTGGGTCTTCATCACCTTTTCTGAAAGCATTTGAATATTTCCTCCTGCAACAGCTGAATAAATTCGGAGTGATCTCGTCTGATCCATATCAATTTGCTTAAAGTATCTCGGTCAACTGAAGATGCTATTCTCACGATCCTCCACTACATCAGCAAAGAATTGAACGAACCTCAACAGCGAATAGTACGCAGTCTATTTCTAGACTATAGCTCAGCGTTCAACTGCATCGATCGGCAAAAACTTTTGATTCGCATTGCAGAAATGAAGATACCACAATGGCGTCTGCTGTTGATCACCAGCTACCTATCCGAGAACAGTCTGTTTGTTCTCATGAATGGGAAAGCCTCAAACACCCTTGCATCCCGAACTTGTGTACTACAGGGCGGTGTATTGTCGTCATTCCTCTTCACTTACTACACCGACTCCCTTCGAGTTATGAATCCCAACTCACGTATTGTCAAATATGCCGATGACACAGTTCTTCTCAGTGCCATCAAGAGCGAGGAGGACATCCACAACTATGAAGAAGACATCGAGCACCTAGTCCGATGGTCGAAAGCGCAGAACCTCATCCTAAATCCAGACAAGTGCCAAGAGCTCATGTTTTCAAATAAGGGCTTAAAAAACCCACTTCTGGTTGGACTGAAGAATCGACAAATTCGTGTCGACGGGACGGTCATCTCAGCAACTAACTCGGTCAAGTACCTCGGAATTTACATTGGCAATGAATTATGCTTTAGGGATCAGACCGAACAGATCTATCAGAAATGTTACAGATTATCCTATGGCTATGAATGTGACTCGCTCTATCCCGCACTCAACTTCCTTCATTCGCCTCTTCATTGACGCTTGCATCATCTCTTGCTTGCGTTACGCTCTTCCCATCTACGGATGCTATCTCTCGAAGAAAAGCTCTTCCTACATAATGCGAATTCTGAAGCGCATTGCATATATCGGTGACCAGGACATTGAAGACGTGAAGGAATAATTTTTTAAGGAAAATTCATCTCTCGGGTATCCAGCTATAAGAGAAAATTCAAGAGGATTTCTTGCATCCCTTGCAATCGGAGTGCACTCCCTTCCACCGTCATACTGGACCCGAAACAAGAAAGAGACTAGTCTTCCCGAGAATCCGGATTTCCTTATTTAGAAATAGCATTCTCTTGAGATGCCTGAGAGGATCCCCTTTTCTTACATTGTGACAACTTAAGTGATGCTTTTCTTTTTTTTTTCCTTTGATTCGACTGGTTATTCTTATTTTTTAAAGTTATTATTGTTTTATATATGTGGACGCTGACGAGCCGTATCTAGGCAAATAAACTTACTTACTTACTTGAACTCAAGCGGGCATATGGTGATATTATTAAATGTGCTCCCTTCGACATCGCTAAGTTAATTTACAAGATCCCACTTTCCATTGAGAAGAGTTGCGTTTCTCAACCCGAGCGAGAAGATGAAGGTAGTTCGTGACTTCAGACGCCCCCCTGGACCCCCCGCTAAGCCGACCTGAAGTACTCGGTCAGCATCTTTTATTCTTCAACCTTGTAACCACTTGAAAGGATTCGCTCGAAGACGACGACAGAACGTACCTATCATGGTGCCAACAATGAGTGCCACGCCACTGAGGAGGCCCACTCGTCGTTTAAGGTGGACCTCATCTTTCTCCGGCGGGAGTGAACCGGAGCCGTCTTCTTGGCTTTCAGATCCCGCCAATTTCTCGCTGCTGTCCCCAGCCGCATCTGCATGTGTGCCAAGGGCTCTCTGGATCGCTGTAGACAGGCTCCCCTCCACGACTTGCGTTCCGATCGCTGCAAGAAACACACAAGCAAGAGAACAATCACTACAAGAATTCGCTTATCTGAGATGACCTCTTCAGATCAGACGGATGAATCCTCTTTAGAGGAGGATGACGTTGCGCAATCGCCCATCAATGGCTCGTTGCACGATCACAGTTAAGCATTTCGGAGATATTTCCTGGAATTTTTCACGTCAACACTCCAGACTTCACCTTCCAGAATGAGCACTCTTTATAGCTTGGGCAAGTGGCATGTGTGAAGATGCTTTTAGAAAATATATATTTAGAAAATATACAGACAGGAAGATAACCAGCCCTTGTTTCCTCCTCCCTTCAATTTGACGCAATTACTTACATACAAGGGCAGTTTCAAATTTACTCAGTTACTGACGTAACACCAGACTTGAAATGAAATCATGTATGATGTTATATATTAAAGATAGTTTGGTCCAGAAATTCAATTTCAGCAGTGCCTTATAGAGCATAGATACCTGTAACTATTCCAGTCAAAATTGTCTAATTTCTCCCATGGATAAAAAAAAGGAAAGCCATTCATGTCGTGTTATTGACGTAACACAGTTTAGACAACTGTTTTCGTTCTGCTGCTTCTCTTCAAATTTTGTCTAATTTGGCTTGACCTGAAGCTTCCATATTTTTAGAATAGAAGGCATAGACCATCACCTTCCTTCCTGCCAAATGTCTTTTTTTTTTGCTCAAAAATGAATTGGCTAGGAGAGTTTTCCAGCGTTACTGACATAACATATGTCAAAAAGCGAGATATACCAAGCAATTCTTTCAAATGGATCGGTGCAGGAATAACGAAAAACCATCCCACTTCAGGTGATGAATTTTCAATGGAGCTTATTTGTTCCAAGTTAAGTCAGGAAACGTAAGTTGGATGACAGCTTTGTAAATCAATTGTTTACCACTTTCGTCCCAATTTCTCTGGAACTGCCCATAACGTAGAAAGAAGCACTTTTACGCGAGATGATCACTAAAGACAGATCAGAAGCAAAGAATAGAGAGAGCGTGCCCCCCTTTTCTCGACATGCTCTGACTTGGAAGGACTCCAAGAGCAGCGTGAGTGCACAGACCATGTGACTTGTGACTGAAACGAAAATAGTTTCTTGCTGACGCTGGCCAAACGGGAAAAAAATTTCATTCAGAGAGAACGATGGAGGGCACGAGGCAGGTAGAAGTGGGCGCCGGTGAGGCAGACAAGCCAGAGACGGAAATCAATCCAGGAAGCGTGAACGTGGCGGCGTCCCATTCTCGTCTCGCGCACGTTCACTCGCGCGCTCTCTCTCTCCCTCTCTCTCCCTGCATCCCTAAGAATGTGTACTACTTTCCAGAAATAGTTCAAAGGGCTGCCACGCAGGCATTTTCCTCAGAGGGATGGGAGAATGGGGTCTAGAAGTATCGACCGGGAATGACTCCCACGCATCACCATAGGACACGAGTATACCATGAATGACCTCCAGCATGAAATTACTACAATCACGCAATGAAGTTACCGTTCTGAAAATCGAGGAATTCAAGCTGAAAATTGGGACTAGAAGGATGAAAAGCCTTCCTCTCCGATTCCTTACGTGAACGTTCTTTTTATGACACTACAAGACTTTCCAAATATCATCCATAGGGTTGCACGCAAGATTTCCCTAAGATTAACCAATCGACTGCCAGAGACATGCTGTCAGGGTCACCTACGCGTCATCCTCAATTTGATCTCTTCAGAGAATGGCACTCGAGACTCTCCATATGCTCTCCAAATTTGTAGCATGAAAAGAATGGGGAAAAGGTCAGCAAGAGGTTCTTTCATTATGATGGCTAGTGTCCTGGATGGCACAATACAAGCGCCATTCCCGCTTGAGGGGTTCAATCTTCCTATAGGGCAAGGTCCTCTGGGGATGAGGAAGAGCGGTTACATCACACGCAACCAACCAATTGATTACATGAGTCGCTGCCAGCCCACAGGAAGTGCTCATTCTTGTGTGCACAACTTCGATGATTCGCTTTGCAAATGATCTCTCCATAGACGAAATTCAGGGTGGATTTTTGAACAGAGAACTAACCGATAATGTAGCTTTATTCCAGGGAAAATACATTACATTTCCTGGAAATAAAGCAGCATTATCGGATAGTTCTCTGTTCAAAAATCTACCCTCAGATTATTCATGAAATGTGAGCGGACGTCTTCCAGTTCTTGTCTCCTATCAGACCATGCGTTGAAACCGGAGCTTCAACAGGAGATAAAGCACGTGCCAGATGAACTTTGATCAGGGTTGGTTATGTAGCGCCATATCTCTCCGAGCCATAGAAACCGGACTCGGTCGGTGGTCCGACTTGGATGTGTTCACGCAAAATGAGACTCGATTGGCCATGATTTTTTTAATGCATGCTCTCTAACAAGACTGCGCAGGGAAAAAATAGAACGCGAGAATGGAAAAATTGAATCACACAGAAGCGCAGGAGCAATTGCGTAGGTAAGAAATTGAATGAAGCATAACAAATCGGGCGAGATTCGCATGGTGCCACTGCATACCGCATACTACTTTTAAAGAAAATTTCAATGTGAACGACGAAAGAACAATAGAGAACTGCCTCTGAAATTATTGAGAAAATACTTCAGTATTGAGTCGCAATGACAATATTTGGAAGACCCAAATATTGTTGAATTTGGTGCTAAGTGAAATCAAAATATATTTCATAGGGATCAGCACTCATGCGGGGATGGGCGGGGCGATAAAAGAAGAGAGGTTAGACCTGAAATGAGGCCATTTTCCATCACCATCCTCTTGATGCAAAAACCGGCACAAGTTCCGTACCAAGACAGAGGTTGGACTGAGGCGGGTGTGGGATGTGAGGGGGTTGGCACGAGGAAGACGCGAAAAGCGCATGAGCCCATCCTTGCCAACGTCAAGGTTTTGCATCGATCCCTTCTCTTCGACCCTCATGTACGTTGGATATATGCGTAGAAATGCTTTGACGATGCGCCACGACGAGGCGGAGGGGATCGATGGGAGGAAGTCACGTGATGGGAATTTCCCGCTCAGACGTGGACAGGAGCCTCCTCATTCATTCCGAGTAGTCGCTCTAGGGGAAATACGCGCACTCATTCAACCTCTGCTTCCGTTCACTAAATTTTACGCATGATGACCCGAGGCCTGTGCTTTTTCCTGACGCAGGCTCCTTTCTGTGGCATATCCCCCCGTTTCTCATCCATTACATACATATCACGTCAGGAGAGGATTTGAGGATGACATTTGTGAAGATGAAGAACTCGCGACTCACCATCGTGTTTGCGCGGCCGAACACCATCATCATCCGTGAAAGTCGGGTTCTCCATAACTGCTTCGAAATATCAGTCCTGCAATACCAAGAGAACATCTTCAGGAACAGGCTTTGCTCATATCGTATTGGCTGAAACCTGCGTCACCGTAATTCCCAATTATTATTCTCTCTCTCCCATGACAATTCCTCCCAGCAAACGGCGCACGGTATCCCCTGGAAATCCCGTTGCAAGTCCCGCATTCTCCCTCTCAAGTTCAATGGCGAAATCGCCTTGTTTCCTGTCGGCCAGCTATAATCTCGCCAGAACTTTCTGCCTATTGAGCTCACGAATGCCGCACCATCTCATTCTGCTTATTTCCATTCTCCCTATTTCATCAAACTCAGTCCAACCATTCAAGTATGTCACAAGTCTCATCTACTTGTGCCACACTCATCACTTTCGCCAATTCCGCATACACCTGACGACCTCCCTTCCACGAGGCTCGCGCTGATATTTTCATCTGCTCCTTCACGATCGTATTCTTAAACCGGAACTAGACTTATCACTCAGCATGTAAGCTATTTGATTGAAACTCTGACCACAGTGGAAGCGATCAAAACGTATTCAAAAGAGGAAAAAAGTGACACAGAGATAAGTATGGGATCCGGGACTAGAACTTAGAAGCTCCCGGACATTTCTTTTCCACAATGGGCAGTTGGGCGCACTTCTGTTGGTATAGCTGAACCACCTTTCGGAGAGCGATGGGAGTATACACACGAGGATAAACCCAATACGGTTATGCGACACTACAATATGTTCTTCATGCAATCACAAGACCAAGGATGAAGGGCTCAGAGGATGAAATTTGGCTCCTTCTGGCCCATTTGCTAAACAAACACTGAGTAGCACTACTCGAGGCTTAAACCCCCTACCAGGCAAGGATTTTCCTCTGCTCGATGGGGGGTTCAGGCCTCGAGTATTGCTACTCTCTTCGCTAACAGGTCCTCGGAGTCTTCGACAATGACTGATGAAATCTCTGTTAAGAGGGCATTCCATTTCGATCTATTCATAGCAGCGAAGCTGTTACTCGAAGACATCATTACTGTGCCTTGTGGCTCCATGACAAAAACACAGTCCGAGTTTCAACCTTCGATCACATCGTAACGCCATTTACGACTACCGATAAAAGGCACAGCATGAGAGAGAGAGAGAGACAGAGAGAGGAGGGGGGGGGGTAATAATGCTATCGATAAGGTAAATTGAGTGCTTACATCATGCCCAATTTATGCTCAGAATTGAACGTCGTCCAGGAACAGGATGCGTCCATGAATAGTTTCGTCATTCATTCTTTAAAGCACATGGCAAAAACGAAGTGTGCATGAATGAAACTGCGAAAAAGTGCTTCCTCATCACTTCCGGCGGCCTTGGAAGCAGGCTGCTTTTAAAACCTGCACAATGATGATAGTGATAAGAGTAACCTCGCAAATCATTTTCGTTTCCCTTCACCAGGATAAACCCACAATGGTCGCATTCAGCTACAGTATTCAGTACGATGGTGGTAGCGGCATAGCACTTTGCCCACGTGACAGCTGATGCCATGGACCCGATCACCTGAACGGCTTCATCTACGTCATTCTGCCAACGAAAGATGACAAGAAGCCAAGAACTTCTCGAGTCTTCCGTTGATTGAACCCCGTCGACTTGCAATAAGAGTAGCACGAGCGGATATCGACACGAAAGCGATCTTCCCTGCTTCTCCAATTGATCAGATACAGTACGTAGCAAACGAAGCGGTAAGGGAACATGGAACGAAATCGCTCTAGTAGCAGTGTGGGAGTTCGCTCAGTAGCTGAACCCCTCGCGGTGTCACAATTCAGGAAATACGGATTCCTGGCACCGATATGGAATTTCACATTTGTACAAATGACGACGGATCGAGAAATAAAGACTTGTAGTCATCGATTTGCATCAAAGAACATCCTCCTAACCCACTGTTCTCGTGTTTCGTTTCTGATAGGACCGAAGTTCTCTCTCGGAAGACTCACCATATTTACTTTTAATAAATGAAATTACGGCACATGTATAGAACGTAAGCCCCTTTTTCCTGTTCGAGCAAGCGAAAGGGACTCTTCACTACGGATCTGCTATCCCAGGCGAATTGAACAAGACCATTGCTACTGTTCCTCTACATTATCCACGATCCTCAGACTGTAGCTCGTATTTGTGCATGTGATATGCCCCTGGGGTGTTCTCAACTTAATACCTGAAGAAAAAAAGCATCCCAATACATAGTTTTACCGTTTCCCCTATGGTTAATTAGACTGCTGTCGTCGCGTCCACCCTTCAGAAAACAAAACAACCTTCCTGCAAATGAAGGCGACAACGAGGATGAAACTTGCCTTTAGAACGGGAGCATTCATTTCCAGGGATCACAAGAGATATCTTCACAGGCACGATACGCGCATAAACACCTTTGAGAAATAAAAGTGAAAAATTGGGAGCATACATGCGGGAAGGGCATTTCACGCCGACGGCTGCCCGTGTCGAAGAATAAAACGACGAGTAGGTGCAGGACAGAGCTGCGGCATCGCTAGTCCCGACGATAGATGGGAGGGACAAACCATAACGTAAACTGCCTGCCCGGTGAACGAAAGCAACGGGCAGGCCAGAGAACGCACAAGGAATGGAGTGTGGCGATGAACCCCGTAAGGAGAAGTTCCGCCCTTGAAACCCGGAGGCTATACGAATATGAGCCCGGTCCATGGCATGCTTTCGTCTGTCTGCCCTAGGGCGGTTGCTCTCTTAAACACCAAGCTACCGGAATCGCAGCATAAATATAGAAATATGTATCATGTTCTGTAATCACGGAATTGAATACGGACCATCCCACGAGCCACTACCCTCTGAATTCCTTTGTCAAGATAAGGAAAAGATTTTCCTTCTGATATAATACCTTTGCGAAAGAAAGAATCAAGTGATTACAAATATTTATAATAATAAAAAAATCAGGCAGGGTTCTTACCGGAACCGGCAACAGCAGACCAACACCATATTTTAAAGCTATTTTCATGACCAAGTCAAGTCAACTCGTGTCATGGTCAAGTAGCATTTCTCCCAGCCCCTCATCAGGCTCAAAACAATATTACCATATTATTTTCTGGCTATACCAATAACGAACTGCGAAATAATGTTATGTAGTTTTATGATACTCTAGTTTGGAATAACTATATTTTCATTCAGTCTAACTTATCACCTTTTCTCAGAGGCACGGTTTAGGGCCCTTTGCGATGTAATTCCAGGAAAATGTTATAGGGCTTTTTTTAAGCTAGCGAACACAAAGGCAATGCCGCGGTAGAAAGAGGGCTCAGGAATATCTTTTTATGATCTTATTGCTGCCTCATCCCAAGTGCTCAATGAAGATATGTGTATGGGTGCAGGAAACATGCGCAGTACTCTAATAATCACAATCAACAAATCACAAAATCACGATAGACGCAAAACCGAGAATGAACAGTGTTGTGACTTCTTCAATACTGGTCATTCCAGATTGCTACATGGTTGTATTCCTGGCCTTGTCTTCAATCCTGTCAACAACAGATAAGGGATGCTTGCTCGAGTCCCTTTTAATGACAGCTTTGAAACCATGAATTCATGGTCTTCATGAGTGAACCATGAGAATCCGCCCTCCTATCCGTCACCTAAGAGTCGATGTAATTTCTATAAAGTTCCCCCTTTCTTCTGGCTATGACGGAGAGGGTGTATCTTTCTTTCAATTGTGATATCATCTTCTTGACTCGTTTTACGAAGTTACAGTCACAGAGGTCACGATGAATAGAACGCCAATGTCCTCATCCGAAACTTAGGGCCTAAGGGCTTAAGAAGCATTCCGGAGATGAAGAGTTCACGCTTTTCCCAAAAGACTTCCTGTTCCCAAAGGAACATGAAAGAGAAACATTTCTATCATAGCAATCGAACGTCGATCAAGTTTGCATATCCTGCCGTTAATCTTTTTCATTCCATGGAAGTCTCGGCTTGTGATGTGAAATTCATTCCACCATCGTTGTGTCGTGATCTCATCCAGCACTTCACTAACGTCTTTCACACGAATGTGGTGGTTATGCAATCGCCTGCTGATATGAAGTTGTGCTTCGCAGGACAAGCAAGCTCTCCGCTCACCATGCCGGAAGCGACATCTTGTGCCAGGGTTATAGGCACAAATATTTTGTTACATTCTTCTCTGGCAGGTTCCTCGAGGGAGACTGTTACGCCCTTAACTGGTGGACCAATTCTTCAGTCGAGAAAAATAAAACGATCTGGGGTGGATTGCATAAACTGACTTTAGAAACCCCTGGTCCTCTTCCCATTTTCTCTTTTTTTTTCTCTCCATCAAGAAATAAATATCTCAACAGTTTCGTGGAATGATGCACAGTACAGGTATAATAACTAGATACTTATGAGAATAGATCATAGGACCTCAGCTATGTGGGAAAAAGCTATCACGAGAGACCAGCGAAATGAAAAAAAATGCGAGCAACAAGGTATGCTTGGTCAGTACGTTCCATATCAGTAAAGAGAAAGAATAACAAGTCCTCAGACAGCACGTGGCGAAAAAAAGTGATGAGCCATCCTCCCTATTCTCAAACCTTGAGGAGATCCCTGTTGCCACAGGCACAAATACTTCGATATTACGTACACTTCCGTCGTTTTCACGATTCGTTTCACGTTCGGCTTCAAGAACTTTTAAACGTATTGCTGAACCTAGTAATTCTCGGATCGACTTTAGGAGGAATATTCAATCGCAATCACGTGATTTGCTAATAGATTTTTATCGATCTGTAGCTTTCCAGACCTTGTGAACTGCTAGCAGGGTAACGACACAAAACCGGATGGAAGTCATGGTCGGCTCACCAGATGTAAAGATTTGTACACCGACTTAAGGCGTCGATTTTCATGCGACCAGTGTGAGGAAGGAGGAGTCCCAGAAGACCTTCGCGTGCGAGGTCATATACACGTCTGATAACGATGCTACTTGTCCCTTTCCCGATTCCAACGGGAGAATATGGGTCCCCTCGCCCTCTCCTCCATACGATAGCAGCACTCCAGGGCGGAGAAAGTGCGGGGATTTCCGTGCGGGCAAGCACGGTAAGCATGTCACATCCGTCGACGTTGCTAGTAAACGATCTTTCTCATCGATTCGTGTTTTTTTAAAAAATATTTTTATAGTTACACATATCAGCAGCTTTTCCATTCTAATCCCCCAAGGATCCTGTCGGCTCTGTTCTTCAATAAATTCAACATTCTTCAATTGAATGTAGTAAATATGGATTGCACATGAGGCAAAATTGTCTCGGTGGCGACGTAATTGCTGATGCAACAAATTAATTTGGATGAGGGAGGGTGGACGAGAAAAAGAGAGATAAATTTAATTTTTGGTTCATAAAAATGACTGATTTGGATACACTGAGACTATGACATTGTCTATTGTGGCAAACCTGCAGAGTATGGAATCTTTCTCGATACCACTTCAATCTGCAGCACCCACCTTCGGTGTAGACTTTGGAAGTGGAGGACCATCATTTTCCTAGCTATAGACAGAGGAAAAAATCTCATTGTCCAAGCTAGATAGTTTTTTCTCTCAAAGACTTGATAAAATGTTCCAAGGCGTCGCATCACAATAATCCAGGAAGGTAAAGAAAACGGAGCATTGGTTATGCTCTCGTAGGGAAGACTGGGACTGTTATGGAAGTTTTTTTTCCGAATGCTCCTGTTATCTTCGAATTCTTCGAAGTGGGGTCTTTTTTAACCTAGAGATTATTTCAGAGGCGAATTATTATTTTCATTACTGAAAAATGGCAACTGAAAGAATGGCTGGAAAAGTTCTGGCAGTATGGATACGGGAAAGGGATGCATGTACATACACAGTTTCTGCTCGCATTCTGATAATTTGGAAGGAAAAAATTAGGTTAAGCCCAAAGTTTAAATGAAAAAAAAAGACTAGAATACCATATCCATGAAAACTGGATACAGATCAGTCGAAGATGAGCTCTGAGGAGAATTTTCTGTTTTCCTCGAATTGTACCTTTTGCTCATCATCCTATTTTCCAGAAAACTTCTCAACAAGTTGCAGAATATGATCACGCATCGCATCGCCGTGGTTCAAGTTTGGACTCAAGCATTGGCTACTCTCTGCTCCATGGCGTGAGAGGTGGTGGAGGGGGTTTGTGCGACACATTATCATCCACCACATCGGCTATGGTTACCCAATGTGCAGAGTGATAGGTGGCCGTTGAACCCGAGCGGGCGTTCACGTTTCACTTTCTCTGGGCCTGTCAACACGGGACAAGATAGGGAACAAGAGCAATGGTCGACTTCCGCTTTGTCTTTAGTCGCAGACCAGTTTTCAGTTTACGTCTCGGTTATGGCCATATTTGTGGTTCCGCTATCGTCGACAAGAGCTCTGAAAGCTGTGGTCAGATTGTAGTTTGTTTATTTGTTTTTTTTTTTAGATCTGGCCCATCACTACAAATACTATGATGAAGCACTCATGGAATTACAGAGGCACGTTTCCAATCGTCATATGTCTGATCGATGCTGCCTAGGTCAAAGGTTACGAGGGGAGACACTCTGGATGAGGAATTCCTATGTTCCGAAGTTTGGTTCCTTCAGTCTTCTGTAGACGCGATTGATACGCAATCTCTCGGTGATAAGAGTTGCAGTGCAGGAAGGGACTCCTCGTCGAATATTGAGGAGTCACAACTGGAATAGAGATTTCGTAATCCCAGTTTCATCTCAGTCCAGTCACCGTCTCAGTCGACTTACTACGACGCGACTGGAAGAATGGAACGACTGCAGTTTAACTTTGACAAGGACTGCAACTGAACACAAAGTTGATATCAACCAATGCCGTCAAGGATGTCTGATAAGCATCCACATTCACATTCAGCTTTTAACAGTCTTTGCCTGTCTCGGTCCGCGCTAACAAATGATAAATCGAATGCACCAGTTCTTCGTCTCAAGAGAAACGGAGTAATAAATAGTATGCAAGCGTGGAACACGCTTGTACCTCGTACATTACAAAACTGAATTTATCCCGTGCAGAACAGGGAAAATTGAAGACAAACTACTCCTCGACTGTCCTGACCCAACAGATAATTCGCATTGGAATGTTTTCGATAGACTCTAAAGAAGCCCTGCTTAAAGGAGATGATTTTGCACGTCCGCTGTGAATCAGCCTATGATGCCATTGCTGTAATAAAAACGGGAAAAAACATTGACATTTTTACAAGTAGGCTTGCACCTGTCCATTTCAATTTGTACGTACTTAGATAAATGGAGAAAGCGAAGAGCCCTCAGCATTATCTGGAGTACTGTAGAGTGGGATGACTTGGTACGGTGGGGTAACGTAGGACATATTTTTGACTTGACATTTAATGCTACTAAAAGTAAAATTATCTACCTCGCAACCCAATGAATTTTTCCTGTGCTCACAGGCAGAAATCAGCGGGCCATGCAAGAAAGAACCAAGTTCGTCGGGGCCAGTGGCGTGCCCAAAGAAGGAGGGGGGGGGGGGATTATGGGGGTCATAACCTCCCCCTTGGAATACGTTTCATATGTTCGATTCTCAAAAACTTTTAAATTTGGCCATAAATGCAGGGTTGGTTACCAATTTTTCATATTTCAACTCCCCCATTGGGATTTTCTGAGTACGCTACTGTATTGGGCTATCACTTGCACGTCAAGCTCAACTATCAAATAGATGATAGAGAGATGAACATGGGCATTTCGTACCTCGGTATTTGGTGATGGTCGGCAGTAGAACGGGTTCCTTGGGCTGCTGATAATAGCGTGCAGATATTCGTCCGATTACGACACTAGTATGTCTACGTTCAACTCTTCACAATTTATTGTTGACATTCATAGTTATCATCACCATTCTCATGTATAGTGAAAGTGATGCGACGAAGGTAACGGATCGCCCAACTGGGAGAGCTTAAACAGCAGAAAAAAATGCAAAATCCCCAAAAATGTACCCGATTTGAAAATGATATTACAGGATAACCATACAATATAGGATTGAATAATAAAATGCATTAAGCAGGCATAGTCAATCCTATATTTTTTGGTTATCCTGTGATTTCATTTCGAAATTGGGTACATTTTTTGGCTCACCCTTTATTACCCTGGCGAGGCATCTCTCAGAGGGAAAGTTTCAGGACGTGGTCACTTCTTGAATGATATTCTCCTGCATATACAGGATGGCTCCCCCCAAAACGCGTCCTGTTTGACGCTCTATACAATCCGCTGTGGATGACCTAGATTCGTGATGTTTTCGTATCACATTGGAAACACTACACAATTTGTTTTCTGAAAGTTTCATGTACCTAGGTTGCCTGAATAAAGATGGGTAGTCGTTCAGAGTGAAGTCATAAAATGTACATTTTCCGCGCATGAGGTGGATCGAGTTTCAGGATTGCTCGAATGATTTCTCTCCCTTGACGCCATAAATGCCACTTTTTATGACAGTTCTCATTGTAATATTCTGCGTGGTATCGATTCTTATGCTACGATGTACGTAGTAGTACTATTCTACGACGTGTGGAATAGTACTACAACGAGGACATGGCGTAAAAAGCAGTCTTAATGGTGTCAAGTGAGAGAAATCATTGAAGCAGTGCCAAAACTCCCTCCACCTCAAGCACAATAAAGGAACATTTTATGACTCCACTTCGAATGACAGTAGAATTTTATTTAGACAACCTAAGTACGTGAAACTTTCAGAAAACAAATATTGTGGTGCTTCCAATGTGAAACGAATGCATCACAAACCTAGATCATCCACAGCGGGTTTTATAAGGCGTCAAACTGGACGATTTTTTGGGGGGCCTCCCGGTATAAACTTAAACCAAGAAGTTGGGAGAGGATGCTGTTATTTGATAAGATCTTGAGATTGTTCACCGTCTTGGGAAGTTAAACACCTACTGCTCTGGATCTTTTCCAATGCCTTGGAAACGAATAAAGCTGAAGGGAACTTTTTTTTTTTTCCAGCAACCTGTCTCCAACACTCATATCCAAAGAGTGACGAGGGAATGATATGTCTTGAGATGTCCCCCTTGCAAGTGGCAAATCAAACAACAGCGGGGAGCGAGTGAACAGGAGGAGCATTCCCCTACTCCTTAAAGATATCTCTGTCCGATGTTATCAATGACGGCTTCCTATGTCTTGGGATTCCCCATGCATCATGGCTCTTCATGCCACTTCACATTTTCTGAAAGTGCGAGATACCCTTAGGTGTTAAGAGATAAGGTGAGAAATCATTGTCTCGTTAAGTGAGTGCCAGCCATGCAGATGTTAAACACATGAATAACCCAAGGGTAACAGTTCTGATAATATGCTTCTTTATTAAGCGTTATAATATAATCAACATTCTATGGAATGATTCTCATATCCTGTGGCAGTATTCACCTTAAAATTTGCTGCCTTGGGCAGACATCACATACACAGGTTGTAGAGAGCCGGAGGGAATGAAACAGGGATACAGTATACATTTTGCAAGGCAAAATTAACAGGATAAGGATGATGGAAACTTCCTTCACTCATTTCGGCCACACTAACATGTCAAGATCACAAGTGCTTCTTGATGAGCTTCTCCAACTTGCGAATGCGACTTGGCTGACGATCTGTGCCGAGATGAGAATTTAAAGCTGGGATGCGACCACCTGTGTGGTTTACTTGCATAGTCCCAGACATCTTGCTGGCTTTGTTTTGATATGATTCAATCAGATGGCTCTGCTCATTCCTTCGGATACCCTATAAAGATGAACGTAAGCAACGCTATATGTCTGTTTATAGGTGATCAGCCAAATGCAAATATGCTGAGTGTCCCATGCAAAGGTGAACCTGTGAATACATGCATACACACACATACATTATTGTGTGTATAAACTGCTCTTTAGCAGCACCACCTCCATTAGTTTATACTTCATTAGTGGCAAAATTACCAGACAGGTGGCAGAAGCAATATAAGCTGTATGTTTTGTGTTTCAAGGACACCAGCCATCAGTAGAGATTGCAGTGAAGTTGAGTCAAGTGTGAAGTACACAGATGAGCAGTGACTGAATCTTGAATTAAAAGTGGTTCATATGAAGTTTGCAGGAAGAATTCCAGGAATTTACACAGGAAGAAAAGGTATTTGGTTGCGTCCAAACATGATAGGATTACAGTGCACAAACCTGAGACCTCAATTGTGACATTTTACAAGGTTTTTGGAGACTGAATAATCAATACAAGTCCATGGCCATCAGGGTCACCAGACCCAAGCAGCTGTGAATTATTTGTGAAGGACTTTGAAAGGCAAAGCATACATAAATAACTAGCAAACAAAAAATAAAAATAAATATAGATGGTATTGCAGCTATTTGAGTGACAGAACTATGAGCAGAGAAAATGTCAAAAAGTGCATTGAGGTTGGGGGACAGCACTTCCAACACTTACAATTAATACTACAAATGCAGTAATTGCAAAAGGAAAATTTGAAAATATATTTGCATGGAACATCCTGGATTTAGATGCAAAGCATACCTTCATTTCAAGGATTTTTTGGAATTCAGTGAGATCTGAATCAGGAAGGAGATTGAGGTATTGCTCAAGGAAGGATGTTGGTGGGTCCATAGGAGACATTACAACCTTCAGCATGATCTCAATGTGGTTCATCCCGTTCACCACTGTCTTCTTGAAGCTATGGATGAAAAAGGGAAGAATTCAAGTGAGCAGAACACTTGACTTCTGGAACTTCTGCATATACGAGGTCTGATCAAAAAGTTCCAGTACTTTTATTCGTAAACTTTATTTTTAATAAGTACATTAAAATTAATTGTTGTCCCCTTCAAAGTATTCTCCCCACTTATCCCAACGCTCCTGCAACTTCTGGAAGCAGTGCTGGAAGTCCTGGAGTGTAAGACTCTTAAACTGCCTCGTCGCATTTTCCTTGATGCTTGCAATGTCATCAAATCTTTTCCTTTCAGTGAAATTTAATATTGGGGAACAGGAAAAAGTCACACAGAGCCAGGTCTGGTGAATAGGGAGGGTGGGGTAACACAGGAATTTTTTTTTAGCCAAAAACTCTCGAATTGTGAGAGCAGTGTGGGCTGGAGAATTGTTGTGATGCAAAAACACCAGGCTTCATTTTGGAAAAGTTGGGGATGATTTCTCCTAATTTTTTCTCACAGACACTTTCAAAACATCTTTGCAGTAAGCCTGGTTAACTGTCTGGCCTTGTGGGACAAACTCATGATGCATCAGGATCATGATGCATGATCGAAAATTTGATGAAGAGCACAGAGACGACAGGATTTCAACACTTGTGATTCACGACTGGTTAATCCTAGTGCAAAGGAGGTTTCACCATGCGTGCGGTTACCCCCCCACTCCCACCTACACAAGTCCTAGCCCCCTACCTAAAGTGGTTCATTTTTTAACGAGAAAGTACTGGAACTTTTTGATCAGACCTCGTATATATATATGCAGAAGGTGATAAAATCACTTTCAGGGTTTATGGCACTCAAGCAAGAAAATTATGCAGGTGATAGCTCAGTGAAACTTTGGGAATAGTTTCAAAATATTTGGAAAAATGTTCAGCGAAAAAAATCATTGACTTTATGATTGGGGGGAGGGGGGGCAGACAGTGTGGATATGATGATATTTTTATATACAGCAGTGGAGCTATAGATGGGCATCTAAAATGCTGCCATAAAGTGTGACAATCAGTTCTCATGTAATTTGTAAACATACTTACCTATAAGCAGCAAATAGCACATGTGCAATATTATTACTCAAATGGATTGAATGTAGAGGTGGTGTGACAAGCTTAGTGCCCCACAGTCTTTGTGTTACATTCATAATTGATGTGATACTATATCATATGTTTCACTGAGCTACACTGCATAGTTTTCGTACTAGAGAGTTGTGCACCCTTTGAGTTACATTCCAATCACCCTGTACATATATGTGCAATATGTAGTTGAATTGAAGGCCAACCAATTCAAGATTCCAGTATTTCTCCAAGCAAGGTACTTCGTATGTCAAAGCATCAGCTACAGACATCTATGCAAGACTACGATGGGAGACTATGACATTTATGAATGTAACTCAGCCATCCCAGCATTGAACACCCAAACACAGTATTCAAATAAGACAGCAATGTAAAAATGGAAGTGGTGGCGAAATGATTCCTTGGGTGCTGAAAGCTTTGCAGGACACTCTTTGGGGGCATGGTCCTGCTTAACCTTCAGTGCAGTGAGGTCTTTTTCCAAATGTAACTTTAGAAGAAAGTACAGAACATATCAAGTTGGTTGACAAAGTTGCCTAAATTCACAGTTTAAGTCAATCTCACAATCATAGCAAGTACAAAATCAATTGGCATGAGAGAGCTTAGACCAGGGATTGGGAACCTTTTTGGCCATGTAAGCCATATTAAGATAGAGCTAAGTGCTGTGGGCAAAAGATTTTCAGAACAACAGAAATTTTCATGAAGTTGGCAACAGACATATGCATTCTTCTATGCATGAGAAAAATAGGGAAAAACCATGATTTTATATCATTTTGGTATGAGTGTGGGATGTAGGCATTTTGTATTAAAAAGAGGGAAATTCTCTTTTGAGAGAATGCCACAATGTATATATATTTGAAAATTCTAACCAGAAGTCAATCAATCTACTCCTGTATTCAATGTGTTAACATTACTTTACTGTTCTCATTATTTTCCTTCTGAAATGCTTCCCACATTTGTCAAGATCCAGAAAGGGTAGAATTTGTCAGTGGATAATGGATATGTGTATTGGCAAGAATTATCTACAAAAAACTGGAAGTGCTCAGAATATTGTACATCCAAGCGTACTGGAAGGCATCACACTTGCAGAAATGAAGTCATCATGTGATAGCCTCTTATAACCATGTCCCCAACTTGGCAAAGATCGCAGCTCGTCAGATTGTGAAATTTATGCAAGTCTTCCCAGAGATGACCCCTTAAGTTATCACCACAGGTAGTGATGTCAATTTTCCAGTGCAATGCAGCTGCACCAGAGTTGCCACCTTCAACCAGATGAAGTAAATTGTACAAAGAGCTAGGCAAATGGCAAGCTTTTCCCCTCCTCACCTGATGTCATTAGATCTTCAAATCCCTGCAAAGTACACAACTAAAACATATGAAATATAACACATAACTATAACATCTGGTGACCTGTTGCTGCTTTTTGACAATGGAAGTGAAAATGTCCAATATTCTCTAGAGCTCAAAACCTTCAGGATATGGAATCCTGCAAAAGCTGGTTTGTAGATGGCACTCTCAAAATAACACTGCCATTATTAGCTAAATTCATGCAGTGCAGTATGATAATATCCTTCCAACTGTCTTCATCCTGATGACTGGAAAATCTATGGTTGCATACTCAAGAGTTCTTCACTAACTGAAGAGTCTTAACAGCAATTGACATCCTGAGACTGTAAGTAATGACTGACTTCAAACAAGCAGCAAGCTCAGCATTTGGTAGCAAGTTTCCTGGCATTGAGCTTTGAGGATGCTTTTTCCATCTTAGTCAATGAGTTTGGCAGAAAATGCAGCAGCACTAAGACATCCTGGAGTACAAGGGATACATTGTGGATCTAGATGTTGCCCTGTGCAGTGATCTTTTGGTAGCTTTATTAAATGTTCCAGTTGATGATATAGTCTGTATTTGAGGAGATTTGCACTTCAACTTTCAACAGCACCCACAAGACTCTGCTCCAACCATTCATTGACTACTTTGAAGACACCTGATTTGGGCAACCTGACAGAAGAGGCAACAGAAGTTGGTCAACATTTCAACACACCCTTTTGGAATTGCCACAATGCTGTGTTGGCTTGCCTTCCCAGAATCAAAAACTGTTGGAGAATGGCACAGAGCAGAAGTTCTCAATTTTCCTTTAATTCACATTGAACCTTAAAGTGTCCAGTGTCCATGATCCCCAGTTAGGGAGCTGCTGTCATAGAGGGTTTAGCCAAATTCTAAGAGTCTAATTCTCCAAGTCACATCCCTCCCTTTAGAAGTTCATCGATGGGTTGAAAGAAGAAAGGAAATTGAACAAGCTCAAAATCAAGCAATATGTAGCTGGTCAATTTTCTAATGCACTATGAAAGGTCTACTGTGAATATAGACATTGTTTCTTAGCTTCATCAACCAATTTTTTTATGACTACTTAAAAGACATCAATCATAATTTTCAGTAACAATAAAAACTTACTTTACACACCTCTGTCATTTGATGACAGTGAAAAACACATGTAAATGTTGAAGAAAAATCCTGATGTTTTCTCATACAGTCCAAGATGCTACAGAGATCTCTAAAGATTGAGTACAGATGCAGATGCTCTGTAACATCTCCACCTTTGTAGTTGTAAGAGTAATTTTGCCAGTACCAAATGCACCTTCATGAGGCAAGTCTTCAGCATGCATCTTGATCATTTGCATCTTTTCAACTTGTGCCTTTTTGTCATGTGCATTTTTTAACATTTAAATCCACGTTTTTGTTGACCATACTCATTTTGTCTGTGCCCTTTTGACATGGAACCACATCTCAAAACCAGTAGAGGGATCTTAATATCAGCATCTCATCACCAGAGAGAGCACCAAAAAGGCATAGAACCACTGGGAATGTGAGAATAGAACAGTTAAATGGAATATGCAGACCACTTACCTAGCAGGTGGTTCACGAATGACTTTGGATCCAGCAGACGGCATTCCAACAAGGGCATTCTTCAGCATATGCATGTCCAACAGCAGTTGCTCAGCTCCAACTGTACTGATTCCCTTGCACTTATACAGAGTCTGCTGTAGCTTTGGAATGAAATTGCTGAAACAAAAGTGCAAAAGGATTAAAACGTGGGAGGAAGGAGGAAGGAAAAAGTGAGCATGGGACCGTTATAGGCATGACCTTGATTTCACAATGTACAAAGCTGCTGATTTATTGTGCAAAAGCAATATGTTGACTTTTCCCCTCCTCAGGCCAAGTCAGAGAACGGATTTCACATTTTAAAAGGACCTGACTGAAGGGGTAAGGAAATTTTTATTATCTATGCATACAAGCAACCCTTACCAACTGCCACAAAATTTGCCATCAGTCAAGTTCAGCAATGGGAAAGGCAAGAAAGATTCATTCATCTATTAATCTGATGTGGATGTAAAAGGGTTGTTCTGAAAGTAATGCGAAAGTCATATATGTCATAATGTCAAAAGGTGTCTTTTTATTCCTTTGTTTTCTACTGTATATGAATTTGGAAGTTCCAGGGAATTTTTGCAAAATTTTTTGGCAAGCAAAAGTGACTGAAATTTGCAAAGATACAAGGCCTCCCCTTCTGAGGGGGGAGGGGGCCTTGCTAAACCATGTCTGAGTGCCATGAAAGGCTTTGATTCTACTTTAATTTTTAGTTGGCAGGTCATAGTGACAGAACCATGTCTCATTATCAGTTATGATCTCAGAGACATTTTGAGTGGCCCAAGTAGAATTTTAGGAGCATCGTTTTGCAGAAACTTGTGCTTGCCTATTTCTTGCTGTCAGACAGGTTTTTTGAGACCCAGTGGGCTACTATTTTTCTAGTTTTCAAATATTTGTCCAGATTTTTTCTTTATTGCTTCCACTCCAATGCCAACAGTCTCTTCAAGGGCAAGGTTGGTTATTTTTGGGTCATCTTCAATTAGACTATTGACTTTCTCTACATTTGCTTCAATGACAGCAGTTCTTGGACACCCTTCATGTATGGCATCATCAAGATCAGTCTAATCAGACAGGAATAGTGCAAACAAGTCATACACAAGCCTCTTAGATGTAGCTCCAAATGTCAATGGCTTTAACAAGCTTTTCATGGCACTCAGACACATTTTCTTGAAACTTGCTTGAAACTCCAGAAATCATTGCATGAAAATCACAGTCACACAACCACACTTCGGAAGGGGGAGCGGCCTTGCATTTTTTGCAAATTTTGAACACTTATTAACCTTCCAGCAAAAAATTATGAGAAATTTCACTGGAACTTCTGAAACCCTATAAACAAGGGAACAAAAAGTCCACTGGCATTATGACATGAATAACTTTTATTGGACTTTCATAACAATCCTCGTAAGCCAAGTAATATAGGTTCTCCATGGAGAGGACCACTAATTAGAGCAGGGTTGCAGAACTCAAAAGACTGTGAGGGCCATTTGCAATTTTTAATCATATACCGTGGGCTGCAGTCTGGCTGACCATAGCTGTGGCCAACAGGACAGGAGCCATAGTAGCACTTAAAATGCCACCGGTCATGGTGGGCCACAAGCAAGGGCCTCACAGGCTGTATGTTGTGCACCCCTGAATTAGAGCATCCAATTAGCTTTCTTCAAATAATCATTTCGTTGCAACACTAGTGTGTTGTGAATTCTTTTGCTAAATGAAAAAAAATTAAAATTTGCTTTAATGTGTATCTGTATATAGAGGGTCTGGTACGAGGGTCACTCAACAAGTTATCTACCTGAATAAGAAAGAAACATCCGAGGGGAAAAATAACACTTTATTTTTCAATGTAGTCACCTTTTAACTCAACACACTTATTCCACTTTGATTCCAAGGATTTTATTCCCTGGGAATAGAAGTCAACTTCTCGTCCATCAAACCACTGAAACGGCAACTTTCAGCTCTTCATTGCATGAAAATCTTTTTCCCCGCAAAAATGTTTTCAAGTGTCTGAACAGAAAATAGTCACTAGGAGCCAGATCCGGGCTGTAGGGAGGATGGTTGAGCTCCTGAAAGCCACACTCCCTCACTGCTGCCTCAACTTTCCATGATTTGTGGACGGGCGCGTCGTCATGGAGAAGAAGGACCCCCCTTGACAACTTTCCTTTGCGTTTTTCCTTGATGGCATCATGTAAATTTTTCATGGTGGTAGCATAGGAATCACCAGTGATTGTACACTTGTCTGGCATGAACTCTAGCAGCAGTAGTCCCTCGCTGTCCCAAAACACAGTGGCCATAATCTTTCCTGCAGATTTCTGAACACGAAATTTGCGAGGCGTTGGCGATCCCTTATGCTTCCACTGCATGGACTCCTGCTTGGTTTCAGGATCCCAGTGATGAACCCAAGTTTCATCACCAGTTACTATTCTGGGAAAAAAAGTTTCCCCGATTTGTTTAGAAAACTTCAAGTTTTTCTTGCAGATGTCAGATCTGTTCTTCTGAGCTGGAGTCAGCATTCTTGGGACCCATCGAGAACCGACTTTGGACATGTGTAATTNGACACCTTTTGACATTATGACATATATGACTTTCGCATTACTTTCAGAACAACCCTTTTACATCCACATCAGATTAATAGATGAATGAATCTTTCTTGCCTTTCCCATTGCTGAACTTGAGGGGGATATGACCACAGAGAATTATTATATGACATGAGGGTGCCAAAAGATATACCCTGGAATCCTGAAGAGGTCAGAACAAAGGGGCTGAAATCAGAGGCTGGCTGAGCCTGGGATCAAACCTGTATGGTTTGAATGCTGAGATCACAATTTACTAGATGATGGTGTTGCAGATTTGATCCTGGGCATGGCCAAACACTGATTTCAGCCCCTTCATCCTGACATCTTCAGGGTTCCAGAATACATCTCCCAGCACCCTCATATTTATATACTTTAATGTGTATAGTCTTCTCAATTTTCTATAAATGACTAAATACAAATGATTAAAGCAGTCCTGCAGGAGAGGGAGAAAAAAAACCCATAATACTGCTCATTTGCCTTTCTCACATGGTGACACTGCACAACCCTACCCTTCCTGCCCCTTTTCTCAGAGCTCCTTCACCAATATGCTACGTGCCTGTTCCATTCTCTCCTATCTGGCCTGTCTCCTGGTCTAAGAGCTGATTCATTTTATCCATTCTGAATGCCACTGAATTCACCCCATTCTATCTGAAAGCTCTTCAGTAGATCCTTTTCTTTTGCTTAAATACTTTCAGACCCAAGTAGAAGACTGAGGGAGGGGAGAATAACCTATTTATTGTTTCAAAAGCTAAAACGATTTTTAGAGAGGATGAATTTTGCATAAAGAACTTCTCCTCCAAATGTACCACACCAATACCAATATTGCAATAGCACTTAAATAAACTGACTTGGTGAAGCGCATGCAAAACTGCGTGAAATACTCTCTTGCAGAGTCAAGATTGTCCCTAAGCAGAGGGACTGTCTGATGAATGTGTGAAATGATGGCTGTCACATAGGAACTCTGGTCTCCAACACTCTCCACATTCACCCAAGATATCTCAAAAACAAAAGAGGACCATTCTATTATTCCACTACCTATGAAAGCATGTTTTCTGTGATGGTAATATGGATCAACGCTTACTTTGGTGATAGTTGACAGGGCAGGGTCACAGGCCCCTTCTAAATCTTGTACAAGAAGGTTCACGCATTGTGACATGACACTGCGAATGGAATAGCACAAAGAATCATAAAATCTCCCATTTTGAAAAGTTGGCATAATAGTAGTAGCATGCTCACCTGTGGAATGCATCCTGCTCTTTGGATAGGTTGATCTGAGGAGCAAGCTCTGAGCTCACTTTATCTCGGAGTTTTGATTCCAGTTGCTTAGTGGTCTCAAGGCAATATTCTGATGTGGTGAGTACTCTGTAGATTTGAAGTACAAGTTTCACAATGCAACAATGCAAGGAAGTCAGTCAACTGGATATGGGAAGACTGCCCCCAATATTACCTGCATATGTGGCACAGCTCATCATTGGTAAATTTTGGGATTTCCCCCTCTTTCAAGAGATTTGAGAAGTTTTGGATGATTCCAGCAGTGGTGAAGTCTCTGAGCTCCTTTATATTTGGCATGTTTGATAAGGAGCCTGATGTTGGGCTCCGCCTGAGAAAAAAAAGGGCCTATTTTGACTTCACTTATGACAAGGAATATAAAAGCAATACCAAACAACTCTTTATAGTTCTCAGAGTTATTCTGAGATGGTTCCATTAGAATGGTACAATTCAAACAAAGATATCAAGGAAAAGGTGCAAACCCTGGTAAACTATGCTGGAGAACCCTAAAGGCATATTCCCTAAGATGTTTCTGGAAGACGTTAGCCAATGCTACCAAGGGAGGACCAGTGGTTAACCCAGACAACTGCACAAGGCATTTCTTGTAGAACATGAAGAGATCTGCTGAGCTGCCAATCACAGAGCCTTCCTGAATAGTCTTCCCTGGACCAGACTGGTGTAGAAGCTGCTTGGCATCTTCCTGGAACTTTCCTATCAAATCAGTTAGATTCCTGAAGAGTAGAAAAGGATGTGAACATTTTCCCAAATATACTCCAAAGGCAAAATTCTGCTTGCAGAGGATGGGGAGTCATAGCCTACCTGTCTTGACTTTCAACATAGATAGAGAGGTGAGTCTCAAAACATCCACTGATGAGGCCTTGGAATGGTAACAGCAAACGAACTGAGTTCACCGGACCTGTTTGAAGGGATTTTGCAGCCACTGCTTCAGCATCTGAATCTGAGGACATATCCTCTTCAAACGGATTCAGGGATGGTGGCTTTTCTGCCATTGCCTTTTGTGCAACTCCATCACTACCTCCATCCTGAAAGTATAAGATACAGATATTATGGTAGATGCCCAATAATCTAAAGCAAAGATTACTAAAGAAATGTGCTGCATCTAATGTCAAATCTGACCTTTCCAGTGCTGACCCTTGGCTGGAGGGTTATTCCTGAGAATCTCCTTGAAAGAAGAACTTCAAAATCAACTGTCTTCTGTATTGCATAAAGGAGAAGTTTGACTTCAATCTCATGCTGGCGAGCTTGCATAGATCTAGACAGTTGAGTCCTATAGAGAAGAGAGAGAGATGAGTTTCTTATTGGTATCACATTATACAAACCTCTAATTAGTCATGTCTCAATGAAGCAATTGCATGCCAGTAAAAAGTGCAGTGCAAAATCATCATTTCCAGTGCAACTTTCCACCTACAAAACAACTTGCATGCACTGTCCATGAGCTTCAAAATTCAAAACTTCAAAAATTTGTATGCTTTTCTATGGTTTCCAGGTATAAAAAGCTTAATCCATTTCAGTTCAGTATTGCTAGGTATCTGATAGTGCAGAGTTGGGAATCTTCTCATTCTCCCTATGGTACACAGTATGGTACATGTATGGTACACAGACCAATGCTGAAATAAAACTATAAGAAATTTTCAGCAAATTAGACAATGAGCTCATATTGATATTCAATGAGGGTTTCCAGTAATCTAGCAATACCAATATAAGTACCAAAGAGTACTCAATATTCAAAACACTTTGTCCAATATCAAGCAAAAACAATCAGATGCATTTTGACAACCAAGGTTGGGTTCACCCCAGATTGTGTCTGATTCTGTTCACAGCACATGATGACTCCTTCAGTAGGTTTTACAGGGCAATCAAGGGCAGATTGAAGGGTTCCTCTTGCTTGCTGCTTCTCCATTGCTCATTTTCTTTTTTCTTTTTCATGATGGTGATGAAAGAATTTAGTCAAAATCAATTTCATCCCTGAGATTGCCTGCTGCCAATTACATAACGTGATTTTTGAACTTTTTTTTACCCCCCCTGTAACACTCCATAACAAAAACTTTGAACCCTCCCAAAAAAATTACATGACAAAATATGACCCTCCCCTTCATAATTTTTTTTTTATGATAATAAGATAAAGAAACAAGTAAAATGCATTTGAAAAAGAAACTAGTTTATTTTAAACGAGTTTCTTTTTCAAATGCAACTGGCACAAAACAATGCATGGATTGTTCATTCACTGTAATTTTTCATACTACAACTTTGAAAAGTTCTTGTATTTGAAGCACTGGATGAAATTTCTTTTAAATTTGGCAGGAATATATTTTTATTCACCTGAAATATCATGCGCAGAAAAGCATGTGCTTTGCATAACAGATTGAAAATAAATAAATAAACTAACCCCTTTTTTTGCCACCACACTTCCAAATTCAGCTTGAGACACAGATATTCAACATCATGCAGTTCATCTTGAGGCATTTAGTAGTAGCATTACATGCAGAATAAGTACCACCATAATTTTTACAAATGAAGTTTGATGAATCACAAATGAGATGTACTTACAGGATGCAGGAAAACATGAAATTATACCTTAAGCGTAATGACACAACCATCTAAAATCACCTAGGTGAATTGAGGAATTTATAAAAGGAGTCTCATGTATCTGCACGTGTGTACACAAACATACATAATACCTGAAAAGTGTTCAGAGCTGAGTTTATTCAGCTGATGTTCATGACCAAAAGAACCCAGCAATTTGGGAGGGTTTCCAATTTTTTCATGTACATTTTCTCTGACTTAGAAGAAATTCAAAGATGTCAAAGTCATGCAAGTCCATAGTGAAGACTGATGGGAATCTATAGTTTGGATTTGACATAGAAATGGAGATACAAACCTAGAGCTGAATGCAAAAATAGCTTGACTCATGATTATATCATCCTCCCTATAGAGGTATCAAAGGTTCTTTGAGACTGTGTGTCAGGAGGAATTATTTCTTGGGGAGGGATAGAATGCCAGTAGTATACTTTTGAATTCTTCATATCTCATCAGGCAACTCTTACACTTTAAAGTTTTGCTTCCTTGCTTTATTAGGCTAATCCCATTTGATTCTTACTGTAGAGAGGTTTGACTTCCTATCATATCCTGCATGGTGGTGAGAGTTTTACCTGGTAATTTCACAGAATTCCACACCAATTCTTTCAGAGACCTCCCAATCAGGAGGGAAGACTCTTCCAAATCGGTCTTCAAACTCCATGAGATGTCTTTTAAGCCAGGTGAACCGTTTGTCTATCTTATCAAGCCAGGCAGCATCTTGATTCTCTTGGAAAAGATGCTGATACTCTTCTAGCTCTTTGCCAATGAACCACTTCAGTATGTCTCTCCTGTTCAGAAGAACCATATGTGTGCACTAACACTCATGAAGAGAAATACACAGCTCTGAAGCAACACAGTAAAATGCAATATAGGGTAGTCATGAAAGGTGCCAATTACTCATTCACTTATGACAAATGTGTCATTCATTAAGTAGTTCTTTGCAATGAATCAATAAGGAACAACACACATAGATAATTTTTGGAGTTTATTCCTTGCCAAAGGAGATGTACTAGCATAAGGTAAAAAATATTTTCAATTTCGTTTCTCTCTCATAACAGTGAGGTTAAAACTGTCAAATAAAGCAGGAATTTTACCAATGAACCAGATGGTCAATTATTAACTTATAATAAAAACTTATATTAAAATATATAAGTTTTGGATAAATCTCTTGGGCTTTCATAAGTTTTCATGCATAATATAGTGTTCATAATTGGCACAATGTAAGATTACCCCATCTTGTCCAATCCAAATCACTACAAGGCAAGCAATAAAGTATATAAAACCTGTCACTTCCTCTCCTCTACTGCATGCTTCTCTGAATTCAATACTTAGCATCTGCTCAAATGGTAAGGATTCTTTATTAAAACTAAAATTTTTGCCAAGAAAGAGCACCCTTCTCCATTTCATTGCCATAACCACAAGTCACAAAAGTGAAAGGTAAATTTCAACTGCAATACTAGATGCTAGTCTTAATCCATGTGCTATGGTATGATCCTTCCAGGAATAGAGGAAGGAATAGAGATGGAAATGACACTTTTTCTCATGATTTCTTATGACAGTTTTGAAGGAAAATTGTGCTCCTTCTTTCTAAAGAATAAAAAAAAGACCTGCATAGGTCTGAAGATAAGAATATGACCAAGTCCTGGTGGCCTACTCTTCTTCTCCCATCAACTTTTCTTTCCCTACTTTTTTCCAGTCAATTTTCTTCTCTTTCTTTCTTTTTGAGGAAATGGGGAGGAGAATTGGATAGTAAATTGACTGTTGTGTCTATAGACATCTCTCATTCTAACAGAATAGCACAGGAGCATCATGATAAAAACTTAGAAATTGTGAGAGAATTCTCAGATATCTTATCACATCAAGTTTAATAGAATCACCATTGCATTTAAGCATACCTCACTCTTGCATCCAAAACAGATAGGACAAGGCAGGCTTCAGCAATCCTTTGTGAAGGAGCATGTGACAAACTCTTGGGTCCACCACTCCCAAAAACTTCCCTGAAATCCTGCCAAATCAGTTTCTCCAACTGACTTTGTATCTCCTTCACCTATGAAATTGGTGACATAATAAAATCATATAAGTTTATGGTTACCAAGAGAAAACTTTGATATGAGGGGCAATCAAAAAGTTCTAAGCTTGAGGCACTTCCAAGTGCAATACACATTTTTTACTTTTATACCGAGAAGACAGATGTCTTTGATGGTGACTGGCAATTGTTTCATCATATTTTTCAACTGAAGATAGCTTCTATGAATTTTTTTCAATATGCTACCAAAGTGTCAGCTGAAGGGGAATAATAAGGGACTTAAATGCTGCGATGAATTTTCTAGCTAGAAGCTAGAACATATCGATATTAGCCAGATATATTGATATTAGATATATAGATATTTATATCACTTTTTAGCAGGTTTTCAGGAATTCTTGGAAACACAGCATGACTAAAGTCCACATAGAAAATTTTCCATTAAATTTATCGAACATTAAGCATTAAAAGATTCCAAATACTACATGGTATCTTGGCAATGGTCAAATAGAGAAAGTCCTCCATGAGTATACTGGATTTCAAATTGTCTGCAATTGCTGAAAAACATCCCTTTTTGAAATTTTAACCTTTTAAATTTGTTTTTCAGTAGGACACTGACTTCTAAAAAAGTTTCAATTTCTGCAACATAAAATGTTTTCCCAATGTCTTAGAGCAAAGACATTTACATAGCAGACCTCATATCTGCTGCATCAGACAATAGGTTCAAAAAGAATATTTAGCTGTGTATCCTGTACTGTTTAGAAACAATAGCTGACAAAGAGCTAAAGGTGGCAAGGAGGCATAAATTGGCAGAAAAGAGCAAGGGAAAGGAAAAATCATCCTTCACTGAGCAGAAAAGAAGCCAGCCTCAGGCTCTCTAAATTTTCCAGGCAAATTAAAAAAAAAGCTTTCATCTGATTTTTGCTTCAATTGCATGATACTATGCATGACAGGGCAATCACTCATAGAAGCAATTTTAGTCGAGGTCATATCCTTAAGGCAATCAATGCATGGTGATTGGGTATTGGCATGCTGAACACATCAAGAAGAAATAGGATCCAACTTACCTGTTCAGCTAATTGTCGAACTTGTGGTATATCCATGAAAGGTTTGAAGTGTTCCAGTACATTGACTACTCCTTGGAGGAGAGTAGATATTTCCCTATACTGATGTTTCTCAGTCAATATCCTGTGCAATGACATTGTTTCAATAGTTTATGCATGTTTCACAATCAGAAATTCTTCATAATCAATATAAGACTTCTCAGGTAATATTAAACAACAAAAAAAGGGGTGACACATATAGAGGACCATCAGATCTCTCTTTCTTTCTGCAGTAAAGCTCACTCCTAAAAATATTTTCAGAGAAGAAAATCGTTAAAAAAAAGTAATCTCCAAGAGTCCCATCATATTTTCTAGGTTTATTGGCAAAATAAAAAGTTTTCATTTCCTGTCTCATGATGCAAGTGAAGAGAATAATTTCTAACAAAAGGCATAAAACTCTAAAGTTGTTAAGTAGGGATGGGAATCTTTCATTCAAAACACTTGATGGAAAGAATAGTATGCAATTTTCAATGAATATTCAGTTTCTTCCAAGACATTTTCAGTTTTTTAAAGGAAACTTAGTTTTAGTACATTCCTCTACAATCTGGCAGTAACTTCAATTGCATGCTTCAAACAACAATAATAACCACTTAACTAAGATATTGTTTGAAATATCCATACATGTTACAATTTGAGAGAATTATGAAGAAAATTCTGCTGCAAAAACTGGAGAAGTACAGAATAAAAGGTAATCTTGGCTGACAGGCTACCTATTTAATCTATCACAAATTGGATTCTGAAAAGTGCACACACTATGCTGGTTCTTTTCACACCATATATTACTAACATAAAACCCATAGGTAAGTACTCTTAATTTGATAATGTATATGAAGACATAAATTCGCCCATACCTAACACCAACTTGAAAGCAAGTGAACTATCTTCAGGTGCTGCAAAAGACTAAGCTTATTTCAATTAACAATTTCACTGCTGTTCACACCATAGTTCAGCACTACAAACCTCCACTGACATGCTTGGCAAGGAGAGGCTGATTGGGCAGCAAAGTGTCAATTAAGCTTTCCATCAGTATTTCTCAATCTATGCCTTTTTTCTCCTAAAAACTTCATTAATATACAATAGAACCAAAGTAGGACTTCACAATATGAATACAGTCTCCCTGAAAATAATACTCAGATACAACTCCCTCCCAAGCCCTGAACTTCACATGACCTGCTTGTTGCCAGCAATTTAATTACTTTCTCAACCTGTCTGACCTATGATACACACAATTCCTCCAACAGGCTCCCTCCTCAATTCTTTCTCAATTTCTCGCTCTTGCTCTCAATGTGAATGAACTAATCCATGTGTTTTTTAGGAAAATGATATTGAAGTGAACTTTGATAAATTCATGATTTATTTTCATCATGCCAACAGGGACCCAGCTGTTTCTGAGGTTTATGCAGAGTGATCCTTGCATCCTGAACTGAAAATACCTCATGGCACTTTCATTCATAAGGGATGAGTGTCAGCTTAAGGTTGATGAGTAGGAGTAAATGCAAGAGATGAAAACTTCTTGGTTAACTAATATGTCCCAGGCACCACAGATTTGGTTTTCTTAAAAACAAGCTACAACACATATATACAGTGTGATTTTTTTCTTTGTAATCCCAAATGGTTGAGTCAGTTTCCTTCGTACAAAGCAGGGATTTTTCTCTTGTTAAGAACCAGGTGATTTTTCATTTGAGGCTGGAGTCCAGTCATTAAAGAGCCTTGTTTTCTTTTGTTTTTTTTTTATTATTAAATCTCTTGATAGGTGGCAGCATTGCTGGGGTTTCAAGATGGTGTTCAACTTGGAAGAACATGTGTTGCAGTTGAAAGTTATGTGAAAAGTGGTTTATTTAACCCTTTTAGTGCTACTCTGCCGATTCATAGGCTAAAAGCGATGATATATCGTTCCCCTGGCACTAAAAGGGTTAAAGTTTGTCAGGAAGAATTTGGTAAATAAATTTTTTGATTCCACAGTGCAAGTTAAAGACAGCAATAATTAAGCTAACATTAGCATAAAATCTCAGTGTCATGAAAAATTTTGCTTGCAATGTGCATTTTGAGTCTACATATAAAAACAATCACCCTTTATTACATATCCAATCAGTTACAAAAAAAAACATACCACTGCCTTGAACAATTTTTTGTGACACTATGGGAGTATTGCCCCTGGAGAGCTTTGCAAAAATGAATATGAGTTAACCCTTAAACTACTAAGCCTCACAGTTTCGCATGTCATAACATAGGCTCTGGGTCAAATTTGACCCATCTTGGTCATTTAACGGTTAACAGAGGTTATGCTGAATCACCTAACAAGGAGTGAGAGAGATTTCATATGCTACAATGAAGAGCATTCCAAAGTCCACAGACAGCAAAAATTAAAAAATTTTGCAGCAAGACATTTTTAATGAAATATTTTTAAAAACCCCTTACTGAAGCTGATCAACACCTTCCATGAGCATGTGAAAGTGGTTTAGGGTGGTGATGGATGACATGAGGTTCCGCTTTGCAATATCCAATGTTCGGATGTCCCGAGTAATTTCCCTAACCATCTTCTCAGATTCTTCTGATTTTCCTTTTATTTCTCTCACCTCTTTGTATAGATTGATAATAGCAATTTCAGCCTCAGCCAATGCCCTTTTCCCCACCTGTAAAAACAAATGCATAGTTCTTGCTTTAAAAAGGAAAAAATATATATACATATATGTATATACAGGGTATTGCAACAAAAAAAAAGACCAACAAATTTTGACCTAAATATCTCCATTCAAACCAGGGCTATTTTCATGATACTTTCACTTTGCATATATGAGTACATTTCCAGCTGATTCACAAAATGTCATTCAAAATTGTTGAGCCAAAGCAATTCTATCAACAATTATTGAAAAGAAGTTCGACATTGAGAATGGACAAGAGCTCCTACTGGTAGTGGAGTTGAGGAAACACTTGACAGCTGCCTCTCCTGGAAATCCAGACCATGTCGAACTCCTCTTCCATTCAAATTCATTTTTTTTGCATTGGTTGTCTCTTGCAGGTGGTTTTCACAAGCATACTCCAAAGGAATAGCAGATTAATCAATCAATATCAATCCAAAGTTTTTTCAATGTTCTTTTAGAATTTCCCTTGTTTTACATCAGCCTGAATCTGCAGGGTATGACAAAAAAAAAGACCAACAACTTTGAGTGTATCCAATGATTGCTTAAGGCATATCCAAAAAAACTTCCTATGGATATAGCATGCTTTCATTTACTTAAAAGACGACAAGATTTAAAAAATCCATTAAATCAAAACAAAGTTATAAATGATATTGTATCTATAACAAGTCTGACATTTGAAATGGACAGACAAAAGAGCCAGGGGAAATTCAAAATCAGCTTTGAGAAAACTCCCTGAATTCATTGATTCATCTGCTACTCATTAGGAGTATGCTCATGAAAACCACCTGCAAGAGACAACCAGCCCAATGAATGAATTTAATGGAAGAGCTCAAGGTGGTCTTGATGGCCAGGAAAGGCAGTGCTTGAATGTTGCCCCCACCCCAATACCAACAGGAGCTCTTGTCCATTTTCAATGTCTAATTTCTTTTCAATAATTGCTGATAGTGTATAGTTTGGTACAGCAAATTTGAGTGAAATGTATCAGTGTATCATATACCATGTAGCCCAAAAGTCAGTTGACAAATGTGAATTAGTGGAGATGCTCAAAATGCTGTCCCTGAACTGCAATGCAGTGATCTGCATGACTGTTAAGTTCATCTCGGATGGCTTCTAGCATTGCTGTGGTAATTTCCTGAATTTCATGTGCAATTCAGTCTTTCAGTTCATCGAGGGGCACAGGTTGCGTCATGAACACACGCTGTTTCACATAGCCCCAGAGAAAAAAGTCAAAGGGCACATAGGCGATAGCTGGGGCCATGGCACTGGTCCACCCCGTCCAATCCACTGGTCACCGAACACGTTGTTCCATTTGTTACTGAATTTACCAAAAGACTGAATTACACGTGCAATTCAGGAAATTACCCCAGCAACACTAGCAGCCATCCTAGATGAACTTAAGAATCATGTAGATCACTGCATTGCAGTTCAGGGACAGCATTTTAAGCATCTCCGCTAATTCACATTTGGCAACTGACTTTTGGGCCACACAGTATATAAAAATACATGCAAAGGGAAAGTTTCATGAAAATAGTTCAGTTGTGAGCAGCGACATTTAGGTTGAAAGTCATTGGTATATTTTTTTTGCAAAAGGCAAAATGGTATTAACATATAAATATTAGGAATGCACCGATACCGACCCAAAGTATCGGTATCGGCTGATATCAAGTGGATCGGCTGATACCTATATGGCCACTCAGATCCGATTCTCCCGTGCCGCACGCTGTACCTGATGCACAGCTCGTAAATTTTTGGAACGTCTCATGAAAAAGAATCACTCATAATGGCATTCGGTTCCTTAAATCCGTCAGTTATTGTTAATCTCCAACTGATAGACAGTGAGCTTGGACATGGTTAACGCAGAATGCAAGAGATTTGAGAAGGGCATCGCTTTACTGGAATGGGCCAGTGTCATTCACGTACGCATTCATTACTTCACTTTCCCTCCTTCCGGCCCGTCTCCTGCCTTCCTGCTCTGACTGGTTTGCGCAGGCGCTCTTAGTGCTCACGTCCATCCCGCCTCTGGCTCTCCCCTCACGATTCCTGATTCCGGTTGCAAGTTGCATCAACTCCTTAACCCTCTAAGGACATTAGACAATTCCTACCGCTACTCCTCTCCGCACCAATTGTCCTTCGGATGTAGTACCTACGGCCGACGTGTTCTCAGCGGGCCGGGTGAATGCCAGGGGAAGTTTTGGTCTATACTCAAAAAGCTAATTTATTGGCCGACGTAGTTGTCTCCAGAGCTGAATAAATAGAGAGCTGAAAGGAATTTTGAATGTTGGGTCATCAGTGTCCGAGGGCTTATTTATTCCCTTCCATGCCAAAGGCAGCATAAGGCCCAGTAAGGCCCATATAATATAGGTCTGATCCTGTATTGCGGTTTCACTAACCTAACCTAACCGACTGCCACTGGAAGCTATCTGTGAAGGTATCAGCCGATACCAAAACACCAAATCGGCCTTGGTATAGGTACCAGCTAATCCTGAATCGGTGCATCCATAATAAATACAAAGAAATATCTCAACTTTACTCACTTAGTTCCAGGTGTCAACCACAATTTCTAACGAAACAAGGCAATGAAAAATAGGGTTATCTAAGATGAAATAATCTGGATGCAAATGTGGGCTATACTCATTTCCCTCTAGAAATGCGGGGAAAATAACCAAACCATGACTCAAAAATGTTCCTTCTCAATGAAGCATTTCTAAACCTAGGATTGGACATCCAACTCTATTGAATTGGGCTCCTCATTCCCAAGATCTGACTCAAATGTATATCTCATTTTTAGGCAGGGACGTAGCCGGGGGGGGGGGGGGGGGATGTCCTGGGTGTCTGGAAACCCCCCGAAATGAAGCAAGATTTCCTGAAACAAGGAGTATGGGAGAGAGGGGGGCCATTTCGTCATCTCATGAGCCTGAAAGAGCCTCAAGACACCCCCCGAAAATAATTCCTGGCTACGTCCCTGTTTTTAGGAATAATTAAATACAGTGTATTTGCATCCATTACCTCAATGAAATGGAACTTCAAATTCAGTGTTGTTCAGGGAATATCTCAGGAAGACCTTTTAATGCAGTTCAACCCTTTCACTGGCAGATGGAAATTTAAATCTGCTTTATTGGCAGGTGGAAATTTAAATCTTCAACTTCCTCCTGGGGGTGTCAGTGGAGGATGCATTGGCATCATGCCAATGAAAGCATGCCAGTGAAAGGGTTAACGCATTCACTCCCAACGAATGATTTAATATTAATTTTTTTACACATATGTGCATCATTAGGAGCAAATGTGTCAAGGTGCCACTAGGTGTTGGTACCAGTGCTTGGACACTTAGGACACCCACATAAAAGCACAGAAAAGCTATGCAGTAGAGAGTTTGATAAAATAAATTAAGGTTCTCTACTTTAATCATGACACTATGAAAACCTTCAAGCCTTAGACTTTTCATATGATTTAAATACCAAAATGTTGACACATATCTATATCAACCTATGATAGTATCAATAATTGTAACCCATCACAAAACCATGCTCAATGTGAGGCAATTCCAAAATTGTAAAACTCATCTAATTAGGTTTTGTAGTATTTGCTACAAAACTGCCAGTTGATTTTTCAACCACAGTACAAGTACAATTTCAATATTTCCAATATGTTTACTCATTTGGTCTTAAACAATCCTTAGGGTGCACACTTCTGCCTGGACGAAATATAGAATTAGTGTGAACCAGAGTAATTTGATTTATGGGAATTGCTTTTCATTCATGGTTTGTAGCAAATTCCAGTTATGCTGAAAAGGACACCTAATTGGATCATGAGGTATAACAAATTCAATTGATTTCCTTCTGAAACATGTACGCTGTTGTGATGAAAAGCCAAAATAATAGTGGAATGTTACTGCTATAAGTTTAAGGGGTAGGATATATCATCTATTTTCCACTGATTTTATTTAAAGAATTCTGGAGATCCTACTTTCCTACATGACTTCTCTGAACAAATGAGTAAATGAAGACTTATTCCTCAGAGCTGAGACGTAATATAAAAAATTAGCTCGATTCCCCCTAGAATTTGCTGTCATACTAGGGAAAAATGTATGAGGAAGAGAACTTGTTCAAACAGTGCAAGCAAGGCATCTTTCACCTGAGACCCTTAGGAAAGTGATGGACAATTCACTGTCAAGAGCATGTAGACATTCAGGAAGGTTATTTTATAGGGATAATATCTTAAAGAGTGAGATATTCAGGAAGTAATGAACTGTTGTGTGTCAGTGAATCCCCAAGCCAAATAGCTTGTATTTGTAACATAGTGCACTTTGTATTTTCAGAAATACAAAACCTGTGATTACATGAAAAGGTATCACTACACTGTTGTCACCCTGTATATTTAATGTGCCATACACAAGTACTTCTAACAAACTAAAACTGTGTCCAAATGCATGCCATGTTTGAGATATCCCAGATAGGTTCAAGGTAACCCCTAGGGGAGAAAGCAATCATATGGGGTTAAATTGGTCACTTCAGAACAAAATTATGTTTAGTTTAGTAAAGGCAATATACAATACAATCTGGTGCTGTATATTTCACTCAGCACTATTGATATCCCTTGACCCCAAGAACCAAACTGTATTTAAATTACTTGCAGCATATTTTTTTATGGATTTATTTTTTAAGTGAGGCTCCAACCATCCCCTGTCTACCCCATTTATTGATAATACATTGTGGCAACAGTGCAAAGATCCTAAAAAGATATCAGAATTAGTGCTATTCCCCTTTTATTCTAATCCTTTGCTAAGATAATTTTACTGCTCCAATGAAGTACTTTTCAGCACTGCCATTACTATCTTGTACTTTTCATCTGTCACCCATTTCAAAAATATTTTCAACATGAGGGAACTCCATGGGAACCTCACTTTTCAATTTGGTCCTGTAGTTCTTCTCAGATGGAGGTATTGCATATCTCTGTATGATGTACTTTTCAGCATCATCCCCTTTGCTCAGTTCCAGACTGCCCCCAAAATATGCACCAATGAGCTGGGAAAAGTCCACAGATAACTCTCAATTAATTTGCTAAAATTTGCTTGTGATTTTTTTTCCATGTTCTTTTCAAAAATGGATTTGGACCTACAACTTAAAAAGAAGTACAATAAAGACAAGAGAAGTGTATATGTACCTTTTGAAATAGGTCTCAGAAATTGGCAGAAGTACTAAAGGATGAGGACAAGCTTCAATCCTGTTCATATGGTAATCATGAAGTGTTGACTATGGGGTTGGTAACATCCAACAGAATTCTGAGACCTCAATATCTCTAGGCCATCTCCTCACAAGGAGACCTTAATAAAAAATTTGATGATCATTACCTGATCCCCCTACTACAGGACAGATGGCAGGAAGGCTGCTTTCTCAGCTAACTTGTGCCAAAGTCCTGTCCAAGGGTGCTCATTCTGACTCCTGAGACATCACCCTATATTCCTCAACTATATTATGATTCCTATTTCATATCCATTTTGCTTTTAGAATTATCTATGTCTTAACTATTGAATATCATGATCTTCAGATACATCCCCACAAAATAAAAACTATATTTATTCTGATGAACACTGAGCATAGGCCATTTAATGAGGAAGATGTCATATTCCTCAAGAAATAATCATGCAACATTAATCTGATCTGCTATATAACAGTTTGTAATTTGTCCAAATCAACTTGGCAGCTCTATTGAAATATGCTGTCAGCAACCGGACTAAAGCAGTTAATTAACTTAAAAAGTATGTGACTAGGAGTTGCCTTGACAACCTACCCATATGACCTGCCTAGACTTTCCCTCATCTTGATTATACTGATAGCCACATGCAATAAACTCCATGGACTTCTCTCTTTCATTACTGGAATGACTCAGTCCAAGATCTCAGACCACTTCAACAGAGACATTCTGTTACTTGCTGCAAAATTACTCTCACCATACTAAATAGCACAAGCCAACGGTATAGCATTAAGAAATCCCCCTGCCTCAGGTCTTGAGGAACAAGGTCAAAACAATGCAGAGAAAAGGCATTCCTTTACCATGATATCAACAGAACATGGATTTCATTCCAGTTGGAACAGATTAGCCAGACTAGCTAATCTGTTGCCAGAGTTGACCTCTACTCTTTGTAAGAATAAGATTACTGGTGACATAGAGAATCAGTTAACTGAAGTAGAAGTATTGGTACTATAATAAAAGCATTCCTAGAAAGCCTACAAGCAATATTACAGTAAGAGTTCAAGACAGGTGAACCAACTCACCTCACCAGCATTGGTCTGACTGTGTAGCACCTTTCTTATGTCCTGATCGATTGTAGCTATTCTGTTATGCATCTTTGAGATGACATCATCAATATTTGATAGAGACTGCTCCGTCGGAAATATAGAATTGATATACTCCACAGGATCAAAATCAGATCGATCAAAAGGATCTGATGTTCCAAAAACCTGAAAGACAGGATCAAAAAATTGTTGATTTCAGATAATCCACAAACTACCCTACAAGTTCACTGAATTTGAGCAACTTAGAAATTTCTTAATGACCTATGGTTATGAAAAGTAAGTTGCTTTGTTAATGGTTACTCCAAAATCACAGGCAGCAGGATCTTTAAATTTGCCCAAGTGATTCCTTTTATCCAAAGGATAAAGTGTTCTCAATATCCTTTTCATTGAGCACTCCCAGAGGGGAATATAAAAGGCTGAGTCTTGAATAGGTCAATGGTAATACTTATAATGGTCTGTGACTTTTAGGCTTTGGGCTCTGTTTCTTCCTCATTTTATTCCCTTCTCTCTCCCTTTGCGTGTTTATGTATTCTTCCTGCATGGCATGACAGGCTGATTTCTAGTATACCTTAAGCAACTAAAACTAGTTCATTCATTCCTACATAGCCTAGTCTCTCTCTTCACCAACCTACTATGGTAGGCCTAGCTTAAGCTGAGCCAAACCCAAACTTATCCCAAACAAAAGGTAAACCTCATGTTTACCATAGGCATACCTGATGGATTGCATCTTGAACTTCTGGTGGTAAAGTTACACATGTCTGAGGATTCTCATCTTCTAAGCAATCTTCTTCTTCAATTGTGGCCATTTTTGGAGGTATATCTTGAACACAAATTGTTTTCACAAGAACATGTCACATGAAAGCAAAACAAAAATTACCTATAAAAGTTGAAAAAATGTGGCAACATCACATGACAAAACACACTTCAATACAATTATTTAAAGATCATCAAGGTCATCACTAATGCAGAGCATGGTAGGTCTTCCTGACTCAATGGTAATAGGAGAACAAGGATGAAACAGCTCAAATTGTACACTAGTTCAGTGTCAGCTTCATAACAACATGAAATTCGCAGTTCCATCCAATACTTTTTCCCAACTTTATTTGCATGCTTGCAATGGGTCTCTCTGAACCTCAAGGAGGTGATTAGTCACATCACAAAATATAGCATCAGCAAGTTTTAATCCAATATATCACAGATAAGTTGGCCTAGTTCTGGCCACATGGCCCAAAGTAGACCCACAATAGCCTCCGTTTTTTTTTTTTTAACTTAACATACGATAGGCCTACCCCTTCAAGTTTGCTTACGAGGCTGATAGGCCTAGACTTGTGTTGACTTATCCAAATTCATCACCAAATGGTGGTAAAAACAGTGCTGACAGTAACAGTTAGGGCATATGGCATCCTTCTAGAAGGCCAAAGCAAAATACTACTTTACAGCAAGAATGCAAAAAAAAGGAACATGACAAAGCAGAAAGATAGAGGTTAACAGTAATTTTTGAGGGAATCATAAATCGCAATCAAGTATTAAACTATTGCATCGTTAGCACATTCGGACCACGCCGAGTTATAGTTTCAAAGTTGCCACCCAGTTAAAAATCCCAACTGAAACATTCCGGCTGGACCAAATCTGTACATTCGGACCATTTCCAGCTAGCAAAGAGCTGGAAAATAGTAGATACCGGATGTTTGTATAGCTAGAATTTTTTCGACTCGAAAGCAACTGTTTTAAATAGCTGTTTCCAACTGGAAATTTCCTGTTATAATTTTATACGGAGGACCCGACGTCTGGAATACAGCTGAATTTACAACTGAAATTTAGCTGTTTTCGTAGATAGACCTTCGACAAAAATAGTCAACAAATAGATTCTCATTCAGCTAGTGATATTGGAACTAGGAACCAATCTGATTACTTTCCAGCTGTTACCCAGTTGGAATGGGTCCGTATTTACGGCTGGGATCCAGCTGGAAATTGTGGCTGGTTTCTGGCCGGGATTTTAAGCTGGGCAACCACAATTTCATGTTCACTTGAGAAGATAAGCATACCATCAACACATGGAAGCGAGCCGCTAAATCGCAACTCCTTGCAGTGACGTCATGCCACCACGGGAATAGCCCCCTTCCAGTCTGGCAGATGGCAGCGCGGTCGACCCCGATCTCCACGTGGTCTTCATTCACGTGGTTTCAGCATGCCGAGGGTCCACGGTGAATCATTGCTTATACCGTTTTTTGTATTTCTTCATCTCTCTGATGCAACGAGCATATCCGCAGGCCTCTGAATGCCACACAAATCTCAGCATTTCTTCCACTGTTAGCCGTTTAGGACTTGATGGCTAAGGCCCGAATGCTGGAACCTCCTTTAGTTAACGGTCTTTTAACAATACATGTACTCCTATGAGAGAAAAAGAGCTCTTTAACTTAAAGGCCCCTGTATCCCTCCTAAATGAAGTTTGTGCATGGGGACCTATATCTCTGACAGGACCGATGGAAGTGGCCCTGAGTCTCCCGCAGTGGCAGGGGGGCCCCAGTCCCAAGAGTACAATTCTTATAAGTCATGCTAGAGGGAGGGGGAAAGAATTCCCAGCAGATGAAGTCGCTTGTGCATTAAGATTTGGTTTTCGAAATGAATCTAGTAAGCAAAGAAATGCTGAGCTCTACCATGCCCATAGGTGTTGCAAGCGGGTTAGTTTAACCCTTAAACTACCAAGCCTCGAAGTTTCGCGTGTTATAACATAGACTCTGGGTCAAATTTGACCCATCTTGGTCGTTTAAGGGTTAAAGCACCACACTTCCAAAAATAGGGATAGGAGGCTGCCGGCCTTGTTGGTGCGCCCAGGTTTCGAAGTTCAATGGCAACAGCTAAAGAGCTGGCGGAAGAAACGCCAGTTTCCGCGTTATCACTCCTGGCTAATGTAGAGGGAAGAAACACTTAATCAAATTCTGAAAGATCGTTTCGGGTTGTTCAATGATTACATGCCGATTTTCGAATCCCTCTTTTTTTTACAAACGAGGAAACTACCGAACTGAGAACATGGCGCGGTTTGCAGCACAGAGCAATGCCGACCTAGTGAACCTCTTCGGTGAGCACAGCAATCCCCGTTTCACTTCCAATTGAAGCAATTTGAAAAGTATCTCAGATCGACCACGCCTGACAGGATTGGTCACGCTGTCTATCGAGAGAGAGGTCGACAGATAATGTTTTGCAGTTGCGGAGTTTACTCAGTAAAATAATAAAGTACTGAAATCTGTAATCAAAAGTACTGAGACTGTAATCTCGAGATCGCGACGGCGAGGTTACAGTCAGAGACGCATCTCAGACTTCGCGGTAGTCCTCGGCCGAGTTTATTTCAGACCATATCGGAAGGCTTGGTTCTAATGCGCAATATATATTCTCTCGTTTATATTTTGACACATATTTTGGGACACCATACTTTTCACTAAAGAGTTTACTGCAGGGACGAGCCCGGACCGTCGGTATCTCGATTGTGGGAGATCGATTTCCGTTTTAGGAAATCTGAAGACGCTCTTCAATGCATTCTGCATTCGTTTTTCCGTTGTAGGTCACCGTAATACGCGAACCCACCAGCTGGGACGAGTCAAAGCCGCGACGTGGTTGCTTGGTGAGGCCGTTAGTACTCAAAGTACAAAATGCACGAGTAATTATTGGGGAAAAGTCAGTGTCATAAGAGCAATAATTTCCATTATTTGGAAGATTCAAAGGGGTCGATACGGAATCGAATAACCGCAGGCAAAGAATGGTATTTCTGGATATTAAGGCATTTTCAGTACTTTCTGCACCAGATCAGCACTTGAAGTCCAGGTCATAAGTTTCCCCCAGAAACGTAAGAGTGAGTCCGAGCGGATTCAACGCTCTGAAATCTTGAAAAGAATAGTCATTTCTAGTCAGTTCCGTCGCATTGTGAGAGCAAAAATTAAATTTTAGTTGATTTAATCAAATCGTTCGAATGGTGAGTGGGCTGGAGTTAATGGGTATTTCTGGTTACCACTTCCTCTCTTCTGAGAGCTTGCAATGACGGTGAGAGATGCTATCATAGAGAAGCAATCATACCGAAGTTGCAATAGTGGTCGTGCGTTAATGAAGATACCATCATAGTGGATCGTGTTAAGCTTAAAGACACTTTCCATGGGATTCCTCTATTGAAGAAATGTTTTCATATTTCCTCCTTAGAGAGAAACTTAGGTAGTTGTCGGGAAACGGCAGAAAATGTTGTCAACTTGCCAAAAAACTTGACTGCAGTAATTTTTGGCCCGAGATGAATTATTTTCCCTTGTGAAGTGTCCTGCCTACGCCTCCGGGTGAAACACGATGGAAAGCAGAGCAGGTTATGATTGAAATGCAACTCCGAAGACCTTCCGTTGGATTTCATTTCTATCGACGGCTTAACTTCTGCCGTAGTGTATTGATTTCCTGCGAAGAATGGACTTCTTTCTTCATCATCCGGTTGGAGAAGGAACAGTTGTGTTCCTTGCCCGTGGGCTCCCTACTTCCACTCCCAACCGGTTTGTTGTGTTCTCTTCCTTCCAGCAACAGGAGCCTCTGCTTCTAGCCCGATCGGCTCAGCTTCTCAGTCACGTCATAAACGTGAGTGGACTCCAATGCAAAACGTCATTATGCTGTTTTCAAATCTCAATTTCTTCCACGAGTCCGCGATTCTCCTTTCAACCCACGTTCTAAACTGTTCTTTCCAGTTTTTCCTTAGTCTCCAGTCAGTTTTACAGGAAAATATGCAGCGTATCAAGGTAGATCTGGAGTCGGGCTGTTGCTGTACTGATATGGGTTTTAAATAAAAATAACTTGCGTATTTCGCCATTTCTGTCAAATTTGCTGTGTCACTAACATCGTAGCGATTTATTTCTTACCGGCTGGTTCGGAAATCAACGATTGCACGCGTTTTGTTCTGTGGAACCACATATAAGTTGCCGTTGCACATTTAGATTGATCATGAAAGACAGGGTGAAAGTGCAGAAGGGGTGAAAACTGAAGTACTGTGCATTCCATCGACAGCGGGAGACAAAGGCATGTGGTCAGGATCGGCTCCACTCCTCCAGAATACCGGAAGACCGTGTCTGATGCGGTTTCAATGGAGATCTGCAGCACTTCGTGCCCGCGCTGATGCCGATCGACTCAAGCACGGTATATACACTATTAAAACGTGATCCTTTGAGTGGTTACTGTTGTCCTGGAATGGCGAAATCCAGGGAATAAGGTCTGCCCATAATGAAATTGGACATGATTCCATACGAGATTAGGCGAAAAGTGCTGTCTGGTTTTTCGAGGCATCCAGACAGCCTTTAGGGTAAAAGGAGAGAGGGAGAGAGAAGGGGGGGGGGGGGGGGGGGGAAACATGCGTACTCAAGGGGGGGGGGGGGGGGGGGGGGGGGGGGGGGGGGGGAAACATGCGTACTCATGTGAAGTAAATGGAAGGGAATCTCTTCGTTCACCTTTCACCAAACCTTTGTTTCCCAAACGAAACCGATGCAAGCCAACAAATATTACTGAAAATAGTCAATTTCTTCATATCTAAAATTGCTCGAATCTCTTGTATGTATTTTGAAGACCATACTTTCCTTGTCTCTTATCTAATAGGAACCTGAGCTCGCACGAGTTGAAGAAGAATAATCTGATTCCAGCCTTCGATAAAGGGTGCTGTCAAGCAGGTAGATTTCAGGCATGAGGACGAGACAGGATGGGCAGGAAAGGAAAATCTCAAGTCTGACCCAGACGGTTGAGGGAAAAATCTAGTGCCAGAGGCAAGAACCCCATCCTCCAGTGAGTTTTTATCGTGTTACCTCAATCAGTCTAGACCTAAAATACTCGTTTGGCACTTAGCATCTTTTGCGTGTGATGTTTGCGATTCAGACACGCATGCGACAAGCG